TGTTTGTATATATTTTGGACAGCCAGGTCGCACATATACCTGTCAAGGTGTTTTTGTAATGTAAACTAAATGAAAATTGCATAAAATGCGAGTTGATGATTGAAACTAAATGAAAATAATGTAGTATATAAGAAAAAACACTTCGTCACTTCACCCTGGACGTTGAAATGAGCCAAAGAGTACCTGCAAGATTTATGGTTAGAATAATTTGTTTTTTACACTTAAAAGAGACCCGACATTTCTAATGACGAAGTTCCATATAAACAAAAGAGTTCACTAATGACAACTTTTATACGAAGTTTGATTTAAATTTATGACCCAAATACATCACGCTTTTCAAATTAATTCCATCTTCTCATTACATTATCGAAATTTATAACAGGCACTTACTGCTTTAGACTTTTGAAAAGCATATATTTTGCATGACGAGAATTCTCTGAAGTGTTGCCAACATAAAAATAAACTAAGTCATTTTTGTTAAGTGTGTGAAATAACCCGTAACTTTCATCGTGAATCATGATCTTGCCAAACTGTCCACTTATCAAACAGACAGTATTTAAAATGACTTGTTGAAATAACATGGAGCTAACAGGTACTTGATTTACTTAGATCGTTTCACAATAAATTTGTATTTTGGCACAATTCACGAAATTACATCAACGCAATAAATGCTTTATTTATTTACAGGTGTTTAAATTAGATGTAAGCTCCGAACTTACAGAAATAGTCTTGAGTATCCATAGTGAAGCGAAAAGAAGAAATAATACTACATGATGCTATTCCATTGAACTCAAACAAGATAATTAAAAATCATTGCATTACGCAAAACTGATTATTTTATGCATGTTTCCCAACAACTTGAAATTAAATGGAAAGTAGTCCATTTTTTGTTATTTCACGCTTCTTTATCAAGCTATAGATAATCCTCTAATATACCACAACCTCATTATAAAATTGAACACCACTTTGCATTTATACGAGGTATCTATAAATATTATTTATATTTACCAGGTAAACTTTATTACTACACTGCCAACGTCTTTCAGTAATCCCGGTGGTATATCTATACGCATCGATACTGGTTACGAAGATTATTGTTGCCTATTTCAACATAATTATTCCCATCTTTTCTAAAAAAACAAATTTCCATTTATTTTCTCTATCACTGAATGAAATAAAATAAACTAAGGATATTTTTAATTTAAAAAAACACAATACATTTGTTATAGAACGAACAATATAAGAAATAATGACTATTTTCCTAAATTCAAACTTCTTCAGGTTTATTCAGAGTTAATTGTTAATCAAGTGGATATAATATTTTACACACCATTACCTATTTCAAAACCATTTTCTCAGGTAATATTTTATAGACCTGTAACAACTGAAACCTTCTTAGAAGGATTACATTCTTGGTTGAACAACTTCGTATAGTAAGAGTTAACTATTTTTAACATTTAAAATAGAACTAATAAACATTATCAGTTATTGGTATTTAGTAGATATAACTATTAATTCATCGAAAGATATCAATCCATACATAATATCTACTCTTATTATAAATGTCCCTTTAGTTATCCAAGGAAGTATGCATATATATAATGTGTAATTTACTATATTCCTACTTTGCATAATTTTTTTCACTTAATTGTTTCCAAGATTATTGTTTATCTAGAGACAATACACTAATTTGATTACTTTCATTTACTAGTGAATAAATCTTTTGAAAATTAGGAAAACAAAATGTGTTTAGTATGTACCTAAGCATTTTGTTGGTAATAACTTGTTATTATTATTATTGTTTGTTGTTACGTTTTCAGGACATATCACAGTTATGACTTTCTTTTTACACACTTAATTAGCATATTGCAAATAATAGTTGATCATATTTGAATAATATATCAAGTAAAATAAAATGCGATGATAAAATACGTATCTTATTATTCTCACTCCCTTTAATAAAAGATATAAGTGTTTATGGTACCGCAATCTATAAACTAGTCACTGACATAACTTGTCCATCTTCTTCTGAATAAGATTTGTAGGAAAATCTGTTATAAAAACTGTATTATGTAATAGTTTCAAAACTAAGAACTTACAGAAAGAATAAATGAAATAAAACTAATGGAATGAATGTTTTCAGTACATTGTTCTTACAAATTTTATTAACTGTTAACTAGTATTGATCATATTAATTTTGTAAAGATTCGCTCAGCTAATTGATTGAGGACATAATGGGAATCTCTTAGATACCCTGTTCATGCAAAGTGATAACAAAAGTTATCTACAATTTCCGTATAACTACTGACTAGAATTATATTTAAATATATAAAGAGTTCCTAGTTTTCAGACAGCTAACATTACCCCACTGTTCAAAACAAATCAAGTTCATTTGACGATCTTCTCTGATTAACTGCTTGTTTCTAGTCACGCATTGATTCGTGTTACACTTGACTGCTTGTGAAGCTGTACAAGGAAATTTATTCACTCAGTGAATTAAAGAGTTAAACCATACTTTGATGATGAATTAGAGATGGAGTTAACAAATCATAAAAATTACTTAAGTTCTAGTGTTTCGTCTAAGGTGAAATCCGCGGATTATACAGCGGTCCTCAAAATGATCAAGAGAATTCATATCGATTAACGCCTGATTATATTGTTGTTAGATTACAATTGACAGTTATCGCAATTTAATAAACTGAGTTGATAATAAGGATATAATGTGGAGTAGGAATATAGGTAAATAATCCCTCTGTAAGAAGAACTAATTCTGTTAACGGCAAACGTTGCTATTTTCAGCTTCATTTCTAAGTAAACTACTTTCAAGCAGGAAGATGAAGAGGTTTCATAATCCTCATTAACCTAGTAAAATATTCAAACAAACAACAGTATCAAAACTGTACTGAAATCGAAGCTTATGAAATAATTGACTTTTAAATTGTCCATAAAAACTAATCTGAAATATGTGTTTCGTAATGTTACTATCACCATAATAGTTCTTTCTTTAATCAGCCTATTTAATGTGACACTAATTTATTGTCAATAAACTTATCATACTGTTCGATTATGATCACCATTATTGTTCTGACTACACTTATTTCTTTAATTTATCCCTGGAGACTGTTTTTATTAATAGTTGAATAATGTTGGAAACTTCCTGCTTTTAATCCAACCAAATATATATCAAATATTTATTGAGATTTTTTAATGACTAACTATTTAAACTAAACCATTGTTGGAAGCATCATAGAATCACTTACTAAAATCGACTTTTAACTATGCATTAGGCTGCCAATCAGTTCACATTGACCATGCTTTCCAAATGTATAGTACCTACTCCGGATATGATCGATCAATAATTCCTGAAAGTATTTATTCCGATTTGGGCTTGGACTCTACTGATGTAATAAAAAACTTTAGAGTTTTATTTACGCACACCTCAACCACGATCGAATTGTATTATCGCTATACCTTGATACCAAGACTTAATAGTTAACTAATACGTATTCAGTTATCACTTCCTATATTTTCTAACCACTTGATGAATTCGTGACCTAAACTTTAGTTAAACTATCCTTAATTTCGTAATTTCACCGAAAACATTCATATCTTTTGTAACATAACTTAAAGATATTACAGTGTTGACAATTACACAAAGAACACTCATTATACAAAGTTTACCATCTAAATTTCTTCTAATAATTGTGTTTTTACTCTAATCATTTACAGCATTTCAAGTAATCATCGAAACATACACTAAAAGTTTTTCCTTCTTTTAACCCATCTATACCCATCCTTCAAACTGTCAAAAAGAGATAATAGTCAAATGCTCGCTTATTTACCCACGTACATATCTTCACATCAGTAAACATATATATTGGCAAAATGTTTTATAAAGTGCTTATTTATTGAATCGTAAAACATGATGCATAAACCAATATATTCCGTTCCTTTGTCTCAAATTGACAGACTTAAACTGTTTTTTTCTACGGATTGCGTTATAAGAAATACTTACCGAAGAAGCTAAACAGACTGATGTCGTTAAGGTGCTTTCAGATTTTGTTAGATTTAAAAATCATGTATATCTGTAATGTTTGTGTTATAAATTAATTTAAAAAAGTCTGCAAATATCCCTATGCGACAAAAAAGCGTTTTTTCTCAAACTAATTAACTTGAGATGTCAAATGATAAGAGTACTTTAATACTGATGACCTGTAATGATTCACTATGTTGTTGAAAATATTATTATGACATTTGTTAGGTGTTTAATTTTTGAAACGATTAACTGTGACGACGGACCACCGGTGAACTCGAGGAAGCTGTAAGAGGCTCAGAAGGAGCCGAAGACGTTCCATCCAATCACCTTTCGGAAGAATGTTCTAGAATTCCAGCGTGTAGCTTCCCGATTGGATAATGCTAATAACCCCCTGTACGCGGATTGGAAGACTGTAATGATGATTTTGTTCTCACTAAAAACTATAAATACCTGACAATTTTGTACTATGTTGGACACTGTTTGGAATAATATTCCTTTCGTTAGTCTTCTGTCTTCTTATTGCGACTTGGAAGGGTTTGGTGTTCTAGTGCTCGGTTATACGCGGTAGTATCAAGAAAAATCAGCTTTTTCAAGTTATAACATTAACTCTTAGCTGTACTCTTTATTTAATATGATTCATTTTATGATTTTAATCAGTGTAATAAATTACGCCCTATTAGCGGATATTTATAACTCACTATTTAAATAGATGATTGATACTATATAAGTAGCGCAAACCCATTTGAAAATATTTAAACTTAAGTATTGTAGTCGAAGATAAATGACATTCATAATGAGCCATATAATCACTGATATGTTTTACTACTTCTGAGACTGCACGAAAACCAAACAACAAAATCTCTTGATTCATTTCTCACTTATCGGTAGACAAATTAAATGATATACAAAGATAATGATGATAAATTATGCTAAACTGTCTTTATTTGTTTCCTTTTCTCGACAGAAACATATACTTGCTCTAGAAAACTTACTCAAAGAAATGGGAGTTTCAAGTGATACCATACGCAAATGCAAGCCATTATGTACGTTTCTCTATTTTTGTCAGATATATATATACTACTAATACTACCATATATATATATATATATCTTTTGTTTGTAATTTGAACAAAACGGTCTAAATATTTTTACATTTCAAATGGTTCAAATCATGATTAATTTAAGTTCGTTTTGACAAGTACATTTTTTTACGTCATTTACTAAATAAAGTATTTAAGTAGAAGATGCGAAACAGTACATACTTTTCTAAACATTATTACTCTTTAGAAGTTTCTTCAATAACTTTAAAATTATTACAGTATTTGATATAATTTATTTTTACCACTTCTTCCAGTCTCTGACAATAGATATGAACATACGCAAGTGTATATCAGTATGCATAATTACCTATAACTGTCACATTGACTAGTCTATTGTCATTTGACAGATAAGTTGAAAATAGATTTTCAAAAGAGTTTTTTTTATTTTTAACACATATATCAGTATTTCACCACAAGTTAGTGTGATGTCCAGAAATGTGTAGATAGGCGAGACTTTTGTGATTTTTATCACAAAAAAGTACTTTTTTTGTAAAGTTATGAAAAGGTAGTTTTTGGAAAAAAATGTAATACATATCTGTGTATATGTAGTATGTGTAAATGTTCACCCTGTTACTTGATTTCACAACTTTCACTGTAGAAAATATCACTTAGGATAGAAATATGACAAACTTAAAATGTTATCTAATGTTTTGCAGCATTTTGTTATGAAATACATTAACAAGAGCAATACTATCAGCAACTATATCATCATGTTCATAAACATGAAATTTTATTTTATTTATAGTTAATGATAAATTGAATGATTCTTATCGTTAGGATATTCTAATAACTTTACACCTGATTTGGTAGAAAAACAATTTTATACTTTACATAATTCTTAGCTTCAAGCTGCAAGTAAGACTTTAGAGAAGGTATGTAGAATAAATGAAAGATTATGAGTTCTAGAAGTTCATTCTTAATTCTACTATAACTAGATACACAATATGGTTGAATATCTCAGAGCGGATGAAACATAGTATACGTATTATTCCGAAGTTAAATCACACTATTTAAAAAAAATACGGTTTTAGTGATAAAATTTTTATCATCTTTTCAATCCATTAATGCAGTAAGATACTACTAACAACAAGTTTTCATTAGGTTTCAGCTATAACAAAGGTTGTAAAATATAGACAATAGATAAAGTTATTAAAGTAAACATAAGTTAAGAGCTCCAGAAAGATTATAGATTTTATCTTGAAAAAATTCTATACCAAATAATCTTATCTACTTAATATTATTGTTAACTTTATTATGACCATCTTCATTATTTAAATGATGTACTGATCTTTCGTTGCTTGCATTTTTTGGAGGTTATGTATTTCAATAGTTGACATCATGAGTCATTTGAAGCTAGACCACTATGGAAAACATGGATGCACTGGACGGCCGTTGCATCCTAGTATTGGACTTCTCAGCAGTGCGCATACACGATCCTGCCTCGTGAGATTCAAACCCAGGATCTACCAGTCTCGCGTGCGAGCGCTTAACCATTAGATTACTGATCCGGCCGGCATCCAACGGTGTTAATGTCTAACTTCAACCAATCCACGAAGCTGCTCCACTGTTCACCATTGTCTTCAGTGAGTTGATATCTCACAACAGACCTGGTTGAACTCCACCAGTCATGGCTTCTCACTTGAACTCCAGAAAATGCCTTTTGAAGTCAGTTACTAATGAGTAGACGATTATTATCAGGAGGGGTTTTGTGGAGATTTTAGTAATTTCAGTAGTTGAAATCATGAGCCAATTGAAGCTAGACCACCATGGAAAACCTGGAAGCACTGAACGGCCGCTTCGTCCTAGTATGGGACTCCTATATACATTTGTTCAAAAGCTTTTCTCGAAATTCTCCAAGTAAATACATACATAAATCGTACAAAATCGTACATAAATTATGTACAGATAATACGAAACGGATATAATTAATTAAATACAGATTATCCAAACAACGTGGCTTAAATCCATATCATTTTCTAGAATGGGTTCTTCCATTTCAATAAACTTATCTCTTAACGATCGTATCTTCAAAAAATTGGGCACTAATAACGTTTAGTAGTACGACGTTTAGACTATATAAAATAATTTCATCAGATATCCTGTTTTGTCGCTGTTGATAAAATATCACTTTTTAAACAAAATAATATATCCTGTGTCATATTGACGGAGTTTTGTTCTCTCAACTGAATGGTTTGATTATGGAGCTTAGAGAACATAATTCCATCAAAATTATTCACCTGAGCTATAAATCTTTTCCACTATCTTAACATCCTGTAGCACAGAGATCAAATTATGCTAAATTTAAACCTATAAAACACTATCCAAGTTCAGTTTGTGATCTCATTTTATATCGATTAAAAGAATTCGATTTTAATTAAAATCTATTATATATGATAATTCAATTTGCGTTATTTTATTCTGCGTATTACACAGAATTGGTTTGTATCTAATTTAACAAGATGTAAGACCTTTATTGAAGTCACTATTGTAATAATAGAAAAATGAAATCAAGAGATCAAAATAAAATTTCTACTGGTTAATTAACAGTTTCTTTCTTTATAACAACAACAACTTACTAATTTACTTTCTGTGATATCGTTTTACTCTTATCTATTAACGATAATTATTTTGTAAGTATATTACAATTACGTCATATACAATTGAAGGTTCAATTACCGTACAGAAATGACAAATGAATACATTTAATCTAGTACATTTAGAAGTGTTTTATTGAATCTGATATCGTTTCTGTTCGCCTTTAAAATTAATGAGTTATTGTAGATTATATAATAAGCAAAAGTAGTTTACCTTTCATCTAAGAGCAGATATTATTGAAATAAGCTAATTTAAACAATTTTTCCCTCTCTCTCCTAATCATCTAGTTATTATATAAGCAGATATACTTTTTTTGGAAAAAATATTTTTCCTTTAATTACTATTTTAATTAATTTATAGATAAAAAATGTACAAAAGAACAAACAAACAATGCCTTAAAATCTATTGCAGCATTAACTACAGGTTTTATGGGTGGTCTTGTTGGTGCACCTTCACATGTTCAAGATGTTATATCAAAGTATGGTAATAGTAAATTTTCTAGTACACAAAATTTTACACAATCAACATTACAACAGGTAAATTCATTAGTTTAAATCTTTTAATTAATTTTATAATATAATATTTCTGTATATTGTATATTTTTTTAAATAATAGATTTACTACTTATTAGTGGATGAATTTAATTTCATTGATTGCATTACCATACACTGAATTGTATTATTTAGTTTCCTTGACAATTGATTAATTCATTTTACTACCTGATAAAAGTTCATTTCAATTTAAAAAAGTTGTTAATACTCATAACTATGGATATTATAATTGGCCCCATATAAAGTATATGAGCAATACTAAAATATAGATACCAAATTCTAAAGGGGGTGTAAGTTACCTAGAAAAAAATAAGTTTGTGAACATGACAGAACATTAGGCATTTAAATGATATACATAATATTTTGTTACTCTTGATAATGCTATCTGACATATTTTCACATAAATTCAGTAATCAGAGTATAACATAACAATCAGGTTTATACTGTAGTAGATCTAAGCTATATTATACTCTTCATTCTTTTTTGTTATCAGAGAATAGTTTGTTTGTCATCTTTCACCTACTACTAACTATTGTGTAATTCTGAAATATCATAATCTATTATAGTATTGAATTCCATGGACTAGTTTGAAAGTAACCATTATCTCAGTCTGATCTCAAAGAGGAAGAATTTGACTGTTTCATAATTTCCTCACTATTAACCAGGTAGACAGTTACCTTCATTATTTTATCCAGGGTTTTTTAAAAGTGAGTGCTGATTGAAACGATCTCATTCAATTGAAATAAGAAAATAAAGTAGTTTGAGTAATTAAACGACAATTAAATTAAGTTAATCTCAACTGTTAGACCATCATTATAAAGACATTACGATACAATCAAATTCAAGATGTTTGTTGAGTTTTTTTTTAAATGCTTTCTTCATATACTATTATGATTTCTGCAGTCAGGATCTCTAAATGTATTATCTAAATATCAACGTCAATCGGTACCAAGGTTAGTACATATTCAACTTCCTGGAAATAAACGTTTGCATAACCAACAAATGTGTAACAATTATGAAAAAAGTACAAACTATTCTTATGGCGATCGCGACCATATTTCTGATGAAATAAAACCTCCTAGCATCATACAGGCTACAGATGAAGATAATTCAGACTTTGACAAACTTTTTAAAAGACCACGTGCATTCAGCTTGAATCCACAAGAACACTGGAGTTCACTTCAAGAAAAACAATTTCAGTCATTATTATTACAAAGTGAGTCTACGACAAAATTAACCAAAGGTCTTCAAACAATGAAGTATCTCAATGATGCAGACATTCTGTGTGAGAAAGCAGAGAAGTAAGTGAAAAATACATTAAACTTTTATACATTGGTAAAGTGTGTGTATTCTTTAAACAGTACAGTTAAAAAAAATACTAAGGATTACTTGAAATCCAGCAGGTACTGAAATTTTGTTCCACTTCTTCCAATATGTATGACATTTCATGACATTAAATAAAGTAACTTTTAAACAATAGTGAATCATAACACCGAACACTTAGGTGAGATAATAGTCGATTGCATAATGTTTTATCAAATCCGAACCTACAGTAGTAATAAACTGTGATCACTTTTTTTCTATATCATTCTCTGGTTTTTGCATTAAGCAGCACATTTATAAAAGTGCTAGATTTTGTTTCTTGATATGAGTTCATCGTTAGATCTCAGTTTATGACAAATGGCTTAAAAATCATTCTCATTTATGCACAGTCACATGTAATTACTGTAAATAAATCTTACCCTAGAAATTATCTACTAGGTTACCCATTTAAAATGTTAGAAAAAACTCCGTATTTTTAGCAAGTGATTGTAGCAAAACTGTAGAATCTTTTACAAGCTATAAAAAACAATGAACTGTTATAATCGTTTAGCCTATTCAAGAATACATTTGCTAACTACAATCAATACTCTATGAAACTGATGACTTTTAAGCTATAAAAATTAACACTAAGGAAAAAGTATCTTTTGTCTTAATGAAATCACAAAATGTATCTGAATAAATGTTTAGTAACCTGAAATTATGTATTAGTTTACAGTTTATTTTTCTGTGCGTATTACCTCAATATTGACTTAAGTCACACGCTTTATAAGCAAAGATGAATAGTGGCTAGCAGTGAAGTTCAGAACGCTCATTTTTTCCTGTTTGGCACTCGTCAGCCGGATGTAACTGAATCTCAGCGTTGATAAAATCGATTAAATTCAACAATAATACTTTTTACACTTGAATAAAATAATAAGGGAATATGCAATATGGATTTGTCAATAAACATTAGGGAATGAACTGGATGTTCAGTTGGTTATGTATTCTAAATCAATCCACGTATTCATCGTTTTATACTTCACTTAATGTATAAATCCAAATGTTTTTTTTTCAATATTTTGAAACATTTTAACCGAATTTAATTCTAAATAAAGAATGTAATTACATATGCTAATATATTTACTAAATAGTTAGAATATTCCTGATTTTATGTATAGGGTATTTTGTTTAGATTGTGAATTGAGTCATTGTTAAACCCATTACCCATTTTGAAAAGTTATATAAACAAGTCTACTTGAAAATATAAGTAAAATTTGCTCTATAATTAATTACAAAATTTCATTTCTTTTAAATGAAACTTGATATTTTATGGTTAAAAATTGACGAATTTCCATCTTCTTGAAGTAAAAGTCATAAAATTTTAAAATAATGACAAGATGATATCTATAAGAGAACTCGTATATTAAGAAATGAGTAGTAAGGTTAATTAACCTACTCTTAATTGCTTGTCTTTTTAACGCATGAAGTTGCATCTAATTAACATAAATACTTATTTTGTGAGTTTGAGTTGTATCCATTTCGTTACCATAATTTTTAACAACATCAGAGATAAAATGAAGCAGAATTTTTAACTTCAGGCCAACACATATGATAGAAATTTCAAGAATTAGATAACTTATAGTGAATTATTGTAAATATAAACAAGTCGACTTTTGGCTAATCTGGTCAGAAGTAGGTCATTCTTTCTAATTAATGGATAGATAGTTGAATTAGTTTGAAATGTTTTTAGCTACTATAATCAGAATATTAGTTACAAATTTTGCCTACGACCTATTTTAAATAGTTTGATCAAACTAAATGTCACATCTTAAAATACAAGTTGAACATTAATTTTTTCAATTCTTAAATATACTTCTAAATCAGTGTTGTTGTACTCTAAGATAAACTCGAAGCTCTATGCTAGTTGTATTTAACCGTTTGGCTATAACTAAAATATATTCTTGAATATCTACAATGTTAAATCAATCAAAAACCGATATTCTTCATTTCAGATTAAAAAGAGAAATCAAATTTCAGACGAAAGTTGTACTTAAATTCACTTGGTATTGTTAGTTTGTATCTTCCCGTTGTTGTATAGGACAGTAATTGATCAGTCTCTTGTTGACATTTGTGCATTTGATATTGCCTTAAGTTACAAGCTTTATAAGCAAAGATCGATGATGGATAGCAGTGGAATCTAGGATGTGCGTTCCGTCCTATTTGGGACTCGTCAGTTGGATGTATCTGCATCTCAGATTTGATATTCACTCTGTAACTCGAACCCAGTATCGTTCGCTTCAAACGCTATCGCGTTGTCCACTTACCTACTGAGTCCTGATAACCACCTGCTTGTGCAATCGGGTGAAGTCCAAATTTACTTGGTATTGTTTGCTTGTATCTTCCCATTGTTGTTTAGGATTGCAATCAATCAGTCTCTTGTTGGCATATGTGCATCCTGTGCCTATACTTATTTCAATGTTCTGTCTTATTTAAGTATAAATTCATCTAAGTATGCAAATCATTCTTTTATTTAGTAAACGCTGAATAACAGACTTTTGATGTTTGAAATAATCAAGAAATGCAATTATACACAGGCATTTTCTTTTGAAAAGTAGGTGAAAGTGGACTAAATGATAATGAAAAAGTGTAAATAGTAATGAAAAAATGTATGAGTGTTTTAATAAGTAAAAGATAATGATGGATAAGGATTTATGACAAGTATGAGAAAAGCCAAGAATACTTTTCTTTAATAAATCAAATTCCATTTGTCAAAGAGTGTGACTAAAATTTTCACTTTGATGTGAATGATTTTTATAATTAAGTAATTAAAACCAAAACAAAACTAAAATTACTTATTGATGATTAACGATTATCCAACTGAAAGATAAAATTAAGGTAAATTCATAAGATATCTTAGTCTACAGTCATTTCCAAAAACTAAATGAAATAGTTATTTTTGATAACCTTTATATATGTCTTCAGAATTCATAAATCCTCATTCTGACTAATTACAGTTCACATATGCTTTAACAGTAACTACATAAAGCTTGAAATATCTGATTTTTATGTTGTAGTATAGTATCATGGACCACTTAACAACATTCAACACTTGACTCGTCATAGGTTTCATCAGAATATGTATTTCTTAATTATCATACTGAACATCATAACTCTCTATAGCTTTTTGATTGACACGCATACCTCACCAAGTAATGACTTTATGAATGTATACGCCAATAAATTCTTATTCATTCTAGAGTCTTTTACAATTTTCTGTTTCATGTAGAACATAAAAAGATTTTTCTTTGAATACCTCTTTTAAACATGCGTCAGGAATAACAGAACATATTGTCAGTAAATGTGTACAAATATCGATCATGACGATTGATTTTACTATATCACTCCCCTAAGATGATACGACAAAGTAACTGGGTTAATCTAATCAAATTACCATACTGTTTTCATAGTGATTGGCAAACTATTCCTTATACAACATTTTTATGATGCAAAATAAAGGTACACAAAACAAAAAACAAGAATTTCAGATAAACTGTGAAAACATACTTTTCTTTTATTACATATTTCGTTAGTTTAATATGACAGACAAGATGATTCTTTCATTACATAATAAACTGGTATAAATTTAATGATAAATAAATAAAAAAACTGGAAATAATAAAAATGTCTGATCAATGTTTACGTGTTCATTAGAAGAGAAAGTTACGAAAAACAAAATAGAAAATAAATCTCTAATCAAAAATAACTGATGAAAGAGTAATTTTAGAACAATTCAAGAAAGCAATCAATAGCGTAGAATTCTCTAAATAGTTTCATCACGTGAATATTGAAATAGAGTGGAAACTATTCACTTGTGAATAGTGAGGAAATAATTTATTCACCAATTAGTCTATATTTTCTTTTTTATTTAGAATGAAAAACATTAATGTTATTTAATAGTCAATTGTAAGGTGAACCACACTTCAATTTGATCTTCCTAGCCTTTTGCTGCCAGGATTTTCACTTCCGATCGGTGCCATATACTATATATATGATATATACATCATCCTTTTATAGTATTTCTCATTTTTGTACACCAAATTTTTTTTAATTGGCCGACTAATCTACAGAATTACAGAACCCTAAAATTGTAAACTAGCCTAGTATATTTATTTATTACCACTGTCATTTAAAAAAACATGTAAAGGATTTGCAGTGAATTGAAAACAGTATCAAAAAACGACGTTGAACAACCGATTCATTAACTATTCATTTTCATTTGCTTCATCTATTAATACTACTCTATCATTTTCATTGCTATATCGATGAATTAACTCATTTCACCTATAATCTTGCATCGATTGTTCATTTTTATTGAATGCTCAGTTGTAAATACGTTTATGTATGTAGTAGACTTCTCATCTATTTGAAGTCCATAATTCTGCTACGTACAGCTTATTGTAATTTCTTTGTAATCTACGCGCCGTAATACATACTAATAATAATTCATTGAAACAAAATCAAAAGTTATTGTAAGCATTTTCTTAAAACCCTTGAAGACCATGGGTTATCCTTTATCTATTTGCAAATAATTTGAAGTCTGACTTCTATATAAAAAAAATCAGTCAAGGTTTTTCTGTAATGATTGTCAGCCAGTAACATTCTCGTATTTCTTTTCATTTATAAATTTGACTGTAAGAACTATAAAGTAACTAACTTTGTTGTAAACTTTCGTTATTTATTTCGAAAGAATGATTTATTTAATCTTAAGGAGAACAAGAACGAATATTGATGCAGAATAATATAAATTACTTTTTGTTTCGTTAGGTTCTCATCAGCTGCTTACAACCTATAATATTTAAAATCAACGTTATTACAGATACTGACATACTTATAAATACAAGAGTAATTAGAGATGAATATGTGTATCATTATGTAGCGAAGATTTTAATGGAGTTATTAATGTCATAGAAAATTTTGTTTCGTACAAATAAATTTTGAGAGCGAGAGTTCCAGAACATTGAAATAGTGATTAGAACTCATAGAGTTAACAAACATTAGATGATTGTGTAACGAAGCAACTGAAAACAGATTAAAACTATTAAAGAAAAATATGAATTGTGGTTAGTCAGTTATAAATCGAAGAAAAATGACAATGATGTAATCAAACTTCAGAAAGAGGTGAAGTAGTGAATGACGTATTAAATTAGAAGGGGTGTAGTATTACCAGGACAAAGAAAGAGTAATTACTGCCTCTTTTTGGATACGTAGATCTGGTTTCAGATGTTTGATCGCTATCGCTTCGGCAAATTTCAAAAGATTAGAGTTTGATCGTTTGTTAATCACCATGAAAGACTTTAGTGTATCGACTTGATGTATTGTGTCAAGGAAATGCCATGAGATGACACTGATGAATATTTTTAATTCATTTGACCTTAAACTTTTCTCTATATGTTCTTTGAATCGGACGTAGGCTCTCTTTTCCATTCTACCAACGTAACTGAATTAACAGATACATTTAAATTTGTATGCACATTTGGTGGTAACGTGGAAGGGATATCTATCGACCTTTGATTGTGCTTAAGAACATGTTGTTTGAACAGGACAGTCAGTTTAGCTGCAAGATAAGTTATTATCAATGTAGTTTTTAGTCCCATATTGATTCAGCCTGTGACATCATCACCTTTGAATTTAAGTTGAATGAAAATAGGTTTTTTATTTACTCGAGTTTTTAGGGCTTTTTTGTGTTCAGGTTTTCCATATTTCTCAATAAATTTCAGTAGGTACCGATTATTCTCTAAACATTTTTTAACATTCATTACTTTCTCTTCTAGTGTGTTGGCAGTACATATTCTTTCTGTTCTGTGAAACAGTGTTTTAACAAGTGCCTTTTTGTAACTGATTGGACAAAAGCTATTGAAAGTGAGATAAATCATGTGTCTTTCTTATAAACTGAACGTTGAACTGTGCCATTCTTCCTTCGTTTCATTGCAACATCAAGAAAACGGGACTTGTTTTTTTATTTTCATGTTACATAGTAAACTGGATACTTGGATGGGTTTCGTTTAAAAGTTTTAGCATCATCATGATACGCATATTCATCTCTAAGTACCCTCGTATTTATAAGTATGTCAATATTTGTAGTAACGTTGATTTTAAATATTATAAGTTATAAGCAGCTGATGAGAACCTAACGAAATAAAATGAATTGATATTATTCCGCATCAATCTTTATTCTTGCTCTCTTTAAGATTATAAAGGGAAATATGTGTATGAAACTTATTTAATCGATTATCTTTTTTGTCTATTCTCTATATAGTACTTTTGTACTTTGAATTCTTTTCAGGTCATCGACGTCGATATTTTTAAGGCATACATCAGATGATACATTGAATGAAACCATATCAAATTATTACTTTGCTAATACTTCTAAAGGTCATCACCACTTTTTAAGAACATTACCAAATATATTTAAAAAAGCTTTGAATATAAACAAGCACAAAACAAATATCCTAGAAGAAGAAGGTGAAATAAATGAACAAGATGAACATAATAAACTAGTTGATCAAAAACAAAGAAGAAACTATTTATTACATGGAAAAGAGAATTTTGAAAGAACCATTAATTCATATCCTCATTCACAAACTACATCAACGGTACAAGAAATATTAGAAAATGATGAACTGTCACCAGTATGTAATTTAAATGAATCAAATGAGTTTATGGATTCTCAAACAGATATTATGTTTATGAAAGATAGTAAAATTAGTAGTAATACAAATAAAGATTACTTGGTTTCATCAAATGTTGTACAGAATAATGATAAACATTTAAGTCAACTTACTAATAATGATCATATTAATGATACTAATACTAAAATATCCATAAAGTCTGTTCATAATACAAATAATAATGTACATAATGTATATAATGAATTAGCTATTAATAGAAAAGAATCTGATGAACAAATATGGATACTTCAACCAGGTTATATATGGTGTCAAAATGAAAATCAAGCGAAGTTATCTACTAAGAAAAGAAAATATTCTGCAACAAAGGTAGGTGATAGATATATGAAATGTCAGACACAAAGGCCTACTCTCTATTTGATGTTTATGAAAATAGTGTAAAATACGAGCTTACGTCGGTTTTGACCCAGTGAAATAGAAATTTTAGCAATCTGTTAGAGTCTGGAACTACAGATAACACATCCAACTAATGATTTCCGAGTAGGATGAAAAACCCCTCATGGATTTCGCTGCTAACAGTATACTATTCTAAGAAGCATTTCAAAATAATTTTATAACTCCTTTAGTGATGTCGTATATGAAGGTTTGTCTAGTCTGAAAAGTCTTTACCGATGACTGATTTAAAATCACCACTGACAACTACACAGTATTAGATAGTTATATCGTATTTAATTGAACCTTCTCAAATATTTAAATTGACTTCATTCATTGGATCGAAATCAAAAATCTTAAGCTTCTCAGTGAATGTGATAGTTTAAGGCTACTGTGCAGGAATCCAATCACCGATATTTCCAGATTCAGTCTGTCCATGATCACTAGTCTGTACCTTGAGAGTTACTTCATCCTTATAGCCGAACTTGTCAAGTCACAATACATGATTACTATTATAGGTTTTGATCATGATATAACCAGTCTGATTCAGTCCCTGCTTTAAAGCGGAATAAGTTTGATGCGAGACAACTCCGCTATACGTAACACTAGAGTTTTGAAACTCAGAGAATGAACCTCAACCAGACGACAGTGAATTTCGTAGATAATCGTAAGAGGACATAGTAGATATAAACTAGAAACATAAATTTTGTCTGATCCGAAGTATATAACCATACAAAGATTGTTTTAAAAAACTCTAATCATTTAGCCTTTTGATTAAATAAACGTCGGGTTTTTGGCGACGTTACTTTAGATATGATATTAGCAGAAATCTATCAACACTAAAGAAGACTAATATTTTAAACACTAATCGCGTGGGAAAATATTTCTTTTCAGTAAGCTTTTTGTTTTGTATCTAAGCTATCAATTAAATTTAATCTATTCATATTATTCCTTGAATTATCTTTTTACCCATTAGCTTGAGAAATGTCTGAAGCCTTAATGAAAACGAACGTTAAAGTTTATAAGCACAGTTTGGTAGTGAAATTTAAGACACGCATTTCGTCCCATTTGGAACTCATTAGCTGGATGTACATACACCCCAGTGTTGATGTTCACATAGAGTCACGAACCCATGACTAAAATTGATCAGTTTCTTTTGATATACATGCATCTTGGGTGGACTGTCTCGATATTAAGATTAAGTGACAAGAATGGTTAAGCAGAATTTGATTGTAGTCTCATACATAAACGACGGTAAGATTTATATCCTTACAAATAAAATAGTGAAATCGTTTAAAGCACAAGACTAAGTTAAATAGAGTTCAGCCAGGTCTGTTGTGAGAAACCAACTCACTGAAGACATTGGTGGATGTGTCGCTCAATTTTGTGGATTGATTGAAGTTAGACATTAACACCATTGGATGCCGGATCAGTGTTCTAGTGGTTAAGCACTCGCAAGCGAGACTGATAGATCCTGTGTTTGAACCTCCTGAGGCGAGGTCGTGGATGCGCACTGCTGAGGAGTCGCACAATAAGACGAACCGGCCGTCCAGTGCTTTCAGGTTTTCCATGGTTGTCTAGCTTCAATTGACTCATGATCACAACCATTGAAATTAGATTTTATTGTTAATAAATAGAGGATAATGGACGTAAAATGCAGAGCTAACATCTTTTGCTTATTTTAAACAAATAACATTATGAATCTACAAACTCTGTGTATTGGATGCTTTCTCAAATTTCAAAATCTTATTACTTCGTACTCTAGTTAGGAATTTTGCTAATAAGTTATTTAATATATGACTTACCGATTACAATAAATCATTTTAATTCGAATCAACATATCGAATGTACAATAATAACATCGCTCTAAATGACAACTGAAAATGGAAAAGAATTAATGTCCAAAACATCTTAAGTTACATATATTTTTTTTCAGAAAATTGACATAAGTTTCCTTCAAGTATTGGATAAACTTTACTAAATGAAAACATATTTTATTAAAATAGATTTGTACTGAATAACAACACCATCATACTCGAATACTTTTTTTTAAACATTCCAGTCATCTACATGTTATGTACTTGTTATTATAATAATTCTCAACTAATTCACATACTTTAAATTATTTGTTTTATTCATTTATAATTATAAAACATAATTATTTATACATGAACACTTGGTGTCCAAATGATTTACGGATAATAACATCTTTCTCAAGAAACACATTCTAAGCATTTACAATATCGGTCATGTTATATTTTTCTAAAGTTATACCAAATTTGCAACGGAATTTCCATGAAAATTTCCAACTATCCAAATTACATATAATTACTTACGCCTGTTACCTTTCATGGAGGAGCGTGGCCCGCCAACATTCGCCATCCAACTCTGGGCAATCCCTTCCAATCGCTATTCATCCTTTTCATATCTGCTTCCGATTCTCGGCGCAGTGTGTTCTTTTGTCTTCCACTTTTCCACTTCCCTCCAGAATTCCAAGTTATCTGGTTTGTTCTCTCCCACAGTAGGCTGTCGCTAACGATATCCGATCAACGGACATTTAGTATCTTGTGTAAACGATTTTGAAGGTATTTGTGCATTTTTGATGGTGGTTGTGGTAGTTTTTCAAGTTTTAGCTCCGTACAGTAGAGCCGTCTTGATGTACCTATTGAAGATCCTGACTTTGATATTGCCTTACAGACAGTTGTTTCGAGTTCCATATATTCTTCAATTGTCGGAATGCGGCCCTTGCGTTGCCAATCATCGCTTTTACGTATGCATCAGATCCTGCTTGCACATCGATTATGGTGCTGTCCAGGTATATGAAATTTTTCACCTCTTCCAAAGCATCTCCACCAAGTTTCATTGGGTTGGTGTTCTCCGTGTTGTATTTGAAGATCTTGCTTTTCCCTTGTATATGTTGATGCCTACTTGAGTTTCTCTGTTCTTGTTCGGCTGTTGTTAATTACTGTCGTCTTGCTCTTTCCTTCTTGAATCCTGTCCATGGTTTCGATAGCAATTCATTCCTTATGATGGTGTTTGTTGTGGCCCAGCACCTCCTGACACGTTCACGTTAATGCTTAGTTGATCCCTTTTCAGTCGATCTTGTAGAGCTTAGAATCTGTTGTTGAGAGTTGTCTTGAATTCGTTGAGTTTGTTAGTATCTGGAAGGAAGAATGTATCAAACTTATGTAATGCTATTTGTCAAGTTGTCCAGTGTTTCTTTGGTTCCAGTTTCATCTTGACAACCATCAGGTGATGATCTGAAGCTATATCAGCTCCTCTCTTGGTTCTCATGTCCTCCATTGGCCTTGTGAATTTTTTAATGATGCGAATATGATTAATCTGGTTCTGTGTAATTTGGTCCAGTGAAACCCAAGTAGCTTTGTGCATGCGTTTGTGAGAAAATGCGGTACCGCCTATAACCATTTTGTGACAGATACATAAATTTGAAAATCTCTTGCCATTCTCGTTCCTCTCTCCATGTGTTGTGCATTCCGATTTTGACGTTTAGGTCTCCCATCAAGATAATCAGGTTCTTTCCTAGGCACTGCTCTAAGATGGATCTCAACCTCTCATAAAGCTGACCTTTATCGTCGTCGTTGCTACCATTGGTGGGTGCATAACATTGGATAACATTCATTATGATTCTTTCCTTCATTGCTTTGATGATTCTGAATCCATCAGATTCTCATCCTATAAGTGTTTTGTGCTCCTTTGGACAGCATCAATTCAGATCTCTTTGTGTTCGTAGCATAATTTTCCTCATCATCAGAGTACAACAACACCACTACCGAAGCTAATCTTTTCTGTTCAGCTTGACCCTGTTTTTCACTGGTTTGGAGCACCACCAAGTTGCATCTCGTCATTTCCGTAACTGTTTGGTTGGTCATCTCGGTCTCCCACATTTTCCGAATATTCCACGTACCTACATTAATTATTGCTGTGGTTGTTAGAGGTGGCATCGGCCTCGTGACTTCCAAAGAATCTTGGCTTTCACGATGAGGCGTCATAATTCTGCTGAATGAAAATAGTTCAACTCGAAGGGAAGAGCTCAAATGACTTAGACAGTTTGTTTTGGTCATCGTTTTTGGGAAACGTTGTTTTCTACGGGATTTAGTTGCTGACCCCATGCACAACCCTTACCATTTACTCGGGATTGGGGCCGGCAGTAACCGTAGAAGTGTTAATGGTGGAGTTATGTATATTTGATTGCATATTAATTACATTCACAACTGAACACATAAATTTACTGGCGTGTCCTACATATTAATTTATACATACATCGAAAACGTCGAAGCAATCTTTTCTCTTGTATAAATAGACTACCTCCACTTTTTCATTCCTTTAATAAACCTTGGGTAAAACGTTATACGTAACTTGCAAAGCCTAATTTAGAAGTGCTTAATAGACAGTTATACAGATTAATCATTTCTTAAAATACATTGGATAATTTTGGATTCCATTAATTTCAACTTCAACTTAATAATGACTTTTTTAAGTTGTATGTAGTAGCTTTAGCAGTCATCCTAAAATGCTAACACTACAGAGTGGCCTATTGCAAACTTCAAAAAGATACCTAGCTAAATTAGAAGACTAGTTGAAAATTTTAATAACACAGTTTAATGAGCTAAGTGTAGATTCCCCTAAACGTTTACTAAACACAAATGGGACATATTTGTAATTATATTTTTATTAACATTTTCAGTTCTTGGAAATATTGTTCCGTACACTAAGAATTAAAACATAATCTTATTTGTTACTTTGATCATAGACCTTTGTGATTTATAGCTGTGTACATGTTGGTAATCCCCAATCGATTGACAGAAATTTATGCTTCAGTAGAATATGAGCTATAAACTTATTGTGACTGGCCCAAAACCTACTATTATTTAATTGATCTATAGCATTGTAGTGTGAATATAAACTATGTATAACATAAAAATAGTCACTCAAGAATCAAAGGGACAAACGACAAACATGTAATTCGTTTACAATAGTGAACGCCAGACTGAATTTTTGATTTACCTGTCTAAAAAACGTTTGCATTCATTTAATTGACAAAATTTTTGACGTGTTTACTTTAATTTGTTCCTTTATGAATCTCAAATGAAAAGATTTAATATAATAACAATTATCATATCTAGTATAAATCGAATGAAAAAAGGAATTCGGTTGTCATGTACAGATATCTTTAATTGACACTGAGTTACACATTTTTTGCAATCAATAATGTTATGTTACTAGTTAAATTTAAAAAGATGGAAGTGAGTATAAACAAAACGATTGCTAATGGAATGCTGTAATCAATACCCCACATCTCGAGAACTACTAATGCTACTGCTACTTGCACTAAGGATTATATTTTAAAAGGGATGATATATATTACTTTACTATCGAGAACAATACGTGCCATGTGAACAATCTTATCAATAGTTTACTATTTTATCTATATATGACACCACTTTTAAGCAAAGAATTTAATCTGACTAATGTGGGATTATATGCCACATATCTTTCTTAAAGATGGTCTGTAAATATGAAAAAATGTTCAAATTATTTGTGGTGATATTTAGAACTAATTTGATTTGGACATTGTTACTGTTTACTGTTATTTGTACAATTTTAGATAGCCTTTAATGGGTATCCTTTTTTTTCATCTTCTACTTTTAAAATGTTCAGTCTCCGCCAAAAGAAAAATCCCGAACAATGAAAATAAAGCAGGTATTTTCTCGTGATAAAGCATCGAACAAAATCTCAAAGGCATTATCATTAAAACCCCAGTCGACAAATTCATAATTTTACCTTTTTCTTTTCTCTTCAAATTGCAATGGATTCAATACATTAGAAAAATAAACTTATTGAATCATTTTATTGGTTTCCCTATTTTCTTTGTTTATTTTACTTGTATTTTAGTGCGACTGTGTTGTTTTTTCTCAAGAAGTATGATACTAAACGTAACTTTTTTCTAGTACTTACATCGACTGTGTTTCTTGTTTAAAATTTATTCAGTTGTACTATATTACTGACACATCATTGTAAATTCACAGAAATACATAGATGGGATGTTTGAAGGAAACATGTACTGAATACTAAAGATTTTACAAATGTAAGTGATGTCTTTAATATTCTAATAGAACAACTGCTGATAACAACATTACAGTTCATGCTAATATTCGAACAATTTTTTAATGGATAGATATCGTATACTTTTTTAATTAACTACAATCATTCTGGAAGAATGTGAAAGAATTGAAACACAAAATCATAAACAGGAATGTTTGACAAGTGGAATACATCCAGAAGAGAGTAATTAAGGGAAAATGTGAAACAATGTAGTCTAGACTTGTATATTTGTGAATATTGGTATTTAATCATTATATGGATCAAAGCAAACAATTACATTTTATTCTGTTGGCTGTGAATAGATAGAAATTCTATTTTTCTTCCCTCAACCTTAATTATAAACATACTCATGACGCCTTATTTAAACGAGAATTCGAAGAGTGAAATTCAGAATTTATCTTCAAGAGGGAATTCCATTTGTCAACATGGTGGTACCAGATCGAAAAATGAGAAAAGTGAACTTCTCCCTATAAATGTTGCTCATCATTCAGAAATTCTAGAATACATCGATCTATTTGATCACTCAGCCACTTTTTTCTCCTGTTTTTTTATGAAAATTTTTATTGTAAAAAAACAATATTCCCATTTTGCTAATGAAATGAACAAATCATTTTCCACTGATAAATAAATTCTTAACCGTATGAATAAACTGACTTGTATTTCACCCTTTTTGAAATGCTTTACCAATGAAATGATTTAAATATAGAATTATAGTACTTAAAACTTATTAAGTAGTACAATGGCTATTCGCAGATAAAATTCATCATTTGATTTTCAGAAGCTGTGATAGCTTTATTATGAAATAATTAGTTTCATATGAAACTTCTTTAGTAGTGTAGTGAACAAAACACGGGTGGGGACAACCGAATGTATTTAGCACAAAATTACAGAGTATCTCAATAAAATCTGAGAACCATATATTAAATTGTTAATTTGCAAAATATTAAAGATTCCCATTGTGAAAATTAGAACAACACATATAAGCAAATGTCCACCAATTGTCTCAAAATGCCTCAGATTTCATTGTCCTTGCATTTTCATACAAATCGCATTCTATTCCCACTCTTCCTTTCTCGATCTTCCCCCCACCTTCTGCTGCCAGACATTACGTTCCTGATTCGCGTCATATACTACTTATATCAATATAAGTAGCACGCACCATAGTAGCACGTAATTGTAAGTGTCAAATTAGCGGATTGCAAACAATGTTTCTCGGAAAATAAGCTGACCAGGGAATGATAAGTCCAGTTGTCAATTTCTAAAATCATGCAGTAAGGTAATCTAGTGCGATTTTTCGAGTAAATGAATGTTTTGGAAAATAAGTACATAGTTTAAGTGTGTTAAATGGAAATAGTGTTATAACAAACTGAACTCAAGAACTCTAAATGGTAACATTTCTGTGTGACTTTATAGTCTTCAGTTTTTACTTGCTGAGCCATACTGTCAAATCTTCTTGAAAAAATCGGGAAACGTTCACAAAATGAATGGAATATATACCTGGTCTCTATAAACAAAGTAGACTAGTCTCTTTACAGTGAACAGATGAATAAATTCATTTTTTTATGTTGAAGTACGCTTGTGAATGGATTGTGAACGTTACTTGAGATGCGAACGTATAGATCGCTTATCTCAGTGAATTATCAAGCGTTTGCTTAGATCAACCAAGTATTCCAAGTTCATATACGTTTTTGTCTACGTTATATTGATGCTGTTTAAGTGACACCTGATTTGCTGGATCTTTATCTTCATAAAACGTAAAGATTGGTCATTTGCACACAAAATTAGCTTCCAGTGGACAAAGTTCCTCTTTCACTGTATCTTCTGGGCACATTTTTATGACTCATATTCCTGCATCTATAACCACACTATAACTACTGACTCTAAATAATCGTATCTTTAATCTTTAGTTTCTCTCCCATAACTGTCAGATATTCTGATCGATAGTCCATTTAATTAAGTTTGTCAATCCTGTCAAAGTTATTGGAGCTAAGCTAAAATTATTTCATTTACTTGATGCTTTTAATTCACTACAAATTCTATAACATGATTCAAACTTTTATTTATTAATGAGACATTCCTACATGGATTTTTTTTACACAATAAGAATTTTAGCACAAACGTAGCCCATTTATTATTCAGATAATTTTACACGAGTTATATATATAACTATTATCCCAACCCAGGCTTAACTGTCTACATATCGATGTCTAAAGAAATTTCATAAAAAATTTCATTGGTGTTAATGATTTTGATCATTATATTTCCACATTCACCGTGACGTAGCATAACTAAATCAGTTAACAAATATAATTATACATTCGGTATTGATTTACAGATTATGCTTAAGGTCAGTCAAGCCATTATATTTAATTTCACATGACAAGTGCTTTTAGTTCACTGAAATTACCTTGACCTTGTTTCTCGTATCCAGTATGTTTGGTTAATAAAAAAGTATATTAAAAAAACATTTGTTCCTTATATTTAAGACTAAGGTGTGTTTATACTGAATGAAAGTAAATTATTCTCTTTGATATACATTTAATTAACGCTGTAGACTAAAATATTCGTTTCTATAAATGTTATTAATTTTTCGTTTATTTTCAGCATACCAACATTTAGCTGTGTTATAGCCTTCAAATATCGGTTTAAAAAGTTGAACAATAAAGAGGAAATATATTCCAGTAGTTGAAATCATGAGTCAATTGAAGCTAGACCACCACGGGAAACCTGGGAGCACTGGACAGTTTTTCCGTTCTAGTATCGGATTCATCAGCAGTGCACACACACGATCCCGCACACCGCGAGATTCCAACCCAGGACCTATCAATCACGCACGCGAGCGCTTAACAACTAGACCACTAGGGCGGCATCCGACGGTGTTAATGTCTAACTTCAACCAATCCACGAAATTGCGCCTCCGTACACCATTGCCTTCAGTGAGTCGATATCTCGCAAAAGAACTGGTTGAATCCCACTGGTCACGGCGAGACTGATAGGTCCTGAGTTCGAATCTCGTGGGGGGGGCGGGATGGTGGATGCGTACTTCTGAGGAGTCCCATACTAGGACGAAACGACCGTCCAGTGCTTCCATGTTTTCCATGGTGGTCTAGCTTTGGTTGACTCATGATTTCAATTAATAAAATTATTAAAATCTCCACAAATCCCCTTCTGAGGAAATATAATACGAAGTAATGTAAACCATCAAACTTCTTTTATGAAACAGAATAGATTTCCTTTCTCTATGGATCTAGTGAATTATTTTGAATAAAAGCATAGTTAATCGATAGTCTAGAAAATGGCAATTTTGAAGCATAAATCACTAAAATAAGTTAAATTCACGGAAATAGTGTACAGTAGGATAGGTAATAGTCTTGCTTCATGTAAACGCCATACAGAATATCTGCAAGGTTCTACATCGACCAGTATTTTTTTGTAATTCACTGGCTTGTTATAACCAAATTTTCCTAAAGCATCGTTTTAGCCTCCCGTATAAATACCGGTTTGCCGTTTCGTCAAATGATCTGTTACCTATGTCAAACTTTCTTACAGTCTGTAATATCTTCCTGTTTTGAAATTAGAAATTATATCAGCATTAGAACAGAATTCTGTCAACTTCGTGCAAAATAATATACAAACATCTGTGTGGTCCTAGATGAATTCAGAAGTACTAAATATCAACTTTTCGGTACATTACTTTGGCACTCAGGTAAAGTTAACTTATTTGACATAATTTGGTCAGATATATGAACACAAAAATTATCATCTTCATTAAAACGTTTTTCTCTACTCAGTTTTGTGCATATTCTGGAACTATACTCAGAAGTATCAAAAGGTATCAAAATGAAATATACTATTCTAAATAATTCCTTCCGTCAGTGAACCCCTGATTGAAACGAATGCTACTAATTTGTAGTTGAGATGAAAGTTCGAAAAGAAACAGAAAACTAAAGTTCAAACCACAAAAAAAGACAGTATTCACTGACTCATAATTATATATGGGGGAGGTTCAGGTGATAATTAAAAAGAGCTTTCTTGTAGTACACATGATCTCACTATACAAGCAAAAACAAAATAGTCAGTAGTTTCATCACGGATTTAGTTAAATCTGTTTTGAAATAAATTCACCTGGTAGATAAAGCTTTAGCACTTAACATACATTCACACGTTGAATTAATTTTATCGTAATTATATCATCTATTTACAAAATCACTTGATTGTTTTATCTGTATAATTATTATTATTTGTGACTGGACACAGGATATTCTTCACGTATATAGTCGTTCGTGGATCTTGTTCTTTTGATGTTTTGTTTGAACTTTAAATTATGTTAACTTTTGCTTTTAACCCTGCTATTTATTGCAAAATTAGGCTGTTTGTGACTATAAGTGACTGAAAAGAATATCGATTTGGATTTCTAAAGGGGATAGGATCTAAATCTTCTTTGACGTTATCCCGAAGTACAGGAAATTAATTTCACGCCCTTAACAAAAAATCAACTTGAAAATATTAATTCAGTTGAACAAACTGTTCGAAACATATGGCATAATAATACAAGTGTCAAGATTTTATAAGTTTCATATCCATAGTGAGATTATTTCTATACCGTTTTAAATCAATACACTTAAAGAATATTAATTTTTGGGGATAATGTATTTACTTTTTCTTTAAGAATACTTTCATTTTGACAGATGAACATTTTACGCAACTAAACTCCTTGGAAATTTGTTACAAAAAAATACGCCCTCAGATTATCCCCGAATATTTTATAGTTATTCAAACCAAATTGGGCTTTCGTGACGTAAGATAGTAGGCATATGAAAAACACTAGTAGGTCGATAAGAACATATTGATTTTGTTGAAGCATTATTGCTTAAAACCGACGACTCTATAAAAGTGGCAAAAAGCAACAGGAATCTTATTTTTAAATATTATCATGAAATAAACGCTGTCTGTCTAAACAGAAAGTGAGATTATAGATGAGTGTTGGTGGGCGATACATTAGTAAATAGAAATTTTAATAGTTCAATTCATGAATCAATCTTAGCTAGACCACCATTGGAAACCTGAAGGTACTGGACGGTCATTTCGTCCTAGTATAGGACTCTCTTGAAGTGCTCATCCACGATCCCATACACGGGAATCGAATCCAAGACCTTCGGGCTCACGAGAGAACGCTCAACATCTAGACCACTGAGACGGCATCCAACACTGTTAATGTCTAACTTCAACTAATTCACGATATTGCGCGACCATATTCCATTGTCTTCGATGGGTAACTATCTCAAACCCTACACGGATTCAACTACACTGGTCACGACTTCTCACTAGAACTTCGAGAATCACCTTTCGAAGCTAGTCACTAATGAGCTCATGATGGATGAGAACTGCTGAGGTGTTCCACACTAAGATGAAACGAACGTCCTTCATGTTTTCGATGGTGTTCTAGCTTAGATGGATTCATGAACTCAACGATTAAAATAACTAATCTCCACAAAGCCCCATTTTGAAAGTGAATTGTTAATTTATTCAGAGCTAGAATAAAAAAGTATATTTAATTACTCTCATAGGATGATTTCCATAATTTTACATGATAAAATTTTAATTCTAAGAGTTGATATTGGCTGCATTAATCGTATTGATTCATAAGGAAAGGGACAGATTGTTTTAGTGGTCAAACTTTTCAAGCAAGTGAAATTAAATTTATATGATCAGAGATTACTAAATTAGACAGAAATATGATAAACACTATTTTTCTCAAAAGCCGGGTAAGAATCATTCCCCGTATGGTAAATTGTTATAAATATTCTCTGACTCCCTGGAAAATTGTTCGAGGTCTACATCAGTATTTGCAGTAACTTCCCATTCGTAAGGTGAAAACACGTATACATGTAAAGTAAATATGTCAGTTAAATTCGAAGAAACTTTTATTGAATAAATCAATGTCTGCACTTCGCACTAACGTAGTTACAAGTACTACCACGGAGATGTAAAGCAGTAAATTCTTATTCACGCTAAGAGAATAAGCAAACGTCCCAAAAGTGTATACTTCCTATTTTAAAATGTTTTTTTAAATCAAATATTACAAAACAAACACTGAATGCTACGTACATGAACAGCTTAACTGACTTCTCATCTCTCATAGCTAGCTCATTTGATCATGTAAGAAGAAAAAACCGAGACATTTCGTCATATTAGCTTGTATATCAAGGTAAAAATGGATAGACACTGCTCAAAATGACCTTGGGTCCCAGAATGTATCAAAGTCGATTCGAATATTAGTATCATATTATACATAGGTGTGAGATTAAGTTGAAAAGACTTCAAGTGTGATTCACCAGTATTAAAGAGGTCTGATGGTCAAAAGGCATTCCAGTCTTCAAATACATTGTCATTTAGTTTCAAGAGATTACTCAAAGTGCGTAAACAGCTAAAAATGAAATAACTTGAAATTTTACGAATATTAAACTTCTCATCTAAAAAGGATTTCGAGATTAAGATTGCTTTCTAAGCGACAAAGAGCCAAGCCCATTCCCCAACATAGGGCACACAAATGATGTCACCAGTACCTGTTCAGGAATCTAGCCAAAAATTTATCTAGACCATTCAGCGATTTCTATCTAATTTTACGACTGCTCCTTTGTTCACATTGAGGAAACCAATCGTGGTCTAATGAAACTACGAACTCATCATACAAGCAACACTGAATGAAATCCAAAGGACAAATTTCAGAACCTGTTCGTACGTGAAATTCCGGCTTTTGATTAGCTTATTCATTCGTGAGGGTTCTTACGTACATATCAAAAACTATCCGATAGACATTATAAATGAAATTACTGGATTTAAGTGTTTCATAAGGTACAATATCCAAAATATCATAAAAGATACGGCTGAATTCATTGAAATTCTCAAAGTTTGCAATCATTTCACAGTAGACAATTATTATTTTACCAGTCATTCGCGTCACTGTTTCTTTAAGCCTAGTAAAATGATTAATTTACTGATATAAAGAATATGAACATAAAACAGTATAGTCTCATGTATTTGTCAGGTGAGTTCCTTCACAGTGAATTTAACCGAGGTACCTAACAACAGAAAGATGTCGATATGTTGGGCTGAAGACTCGGATTCTAAATTTTTATAAAATAAAATATGGTTTTTAACTGACGATAGACAGATATTCATCTTTTATTTCTTAAATAACGTTTATGGTTATTTGGTAAACAACATTTATCATTCAGGACGGTCTAATTTTAATGAAGTATTCTCATGGAACAAATACAAACCCACGACTCTAAAATCCAGCTCCATTTAAGTCTTGATGTAGTGTTGTTCTCTGAGCTAGATGGTTTGGTCGTGGAGCTTTCATCGTTCTTCTGAACGACATCATCGGCACAAACTTCAGATAGAAGTGAAGTGTTCATTTTTTCCATTTGCGTCTCACACATTGTTCTGTACACCTCGACGTTCATTGGTTCTTATTGACCTCAAATTTGTCATTGTTTACTTCTTTGTTTTGGTTATGTCTCCTATTGGTTTGATTTTTATTCCTATATTTGTGCATAATTTTCCTGATTGGTTGATAAATTGGATCGATTTCAATGTGCTTCTTGATTGCTGATTGACCTGAGTGCCATGCTTCTAAAACATCTCTGGTGTTTTTGGAATTTCCTCTCCACCATCCCATCTAAATCTGCTTCTATGCCCTTATGTATAATTGCAATGCTCATGCATGTATGACCAATCAACAATAAATTTAGTATTATTCTTCACGATGGATAATAACTGTGTACCAAAACGTAATTTTATCTGATAACACCTGTCATACTGAATCTAATGTTACTGAAAATATTGGCTATCTAGAGGAAAAGTTAGAACGACTGATCTCAATCACCTATATCGAAATAATTTCCATTGACAACGTACAAATATTTGAAGTGTAACTACATAAGCTTAAACTTGAAGTTACAGTGAAATGCAACTTACGATGCAATCGGTGTGTATATGGTACTGTAGTTTACATGGATCAGTGGTAACAAAAATTAAGTGGACGAGATTAAATGTTGATGAAACTCGGTAGCTGGATGTGGGTTCTTGTAACAATTTTTTAGACACATTTACCAGTGGCACTTCACCACTGCTAAAATTAAAGAGCAACTCATTCACCTTAAGTCATGAATAATGGTTACATAAACGAGACAACCTTGCACTTAGGTAACCAAGTGTCAGGAAGTAAAATGAAAGTCAGGATTTTTGATAATAATATAATAAGGAAAATTGAAGCCCAATGTGATTGAAGGTTCGAAAAATTGTTTTGGTAAAGACGAGGTTTCAAAACCGATTTTCCATGCAAGACATACAATCTAGGATTTACAGGCATCATTATCATATCAACACACAAAACTGATATCAAGTTCGGAAACTAAAGGGGTTATTCAGGAACGCAAAGCTGCTGAATTGGGATGCAGGGCCAGTGGCATATTGTGAGACTCAATATCAATAAAATGGTTGGGAGATTTAGAAGCTTCTGAGTTTTCCGAATCCATTGGACTTTCTTGAACTATCTTTGCATGATCCTCATTTGAATCAGATTTACATTGGTCTTCTTCGTCTTCTTCCTCTGCTGTTTCTAACCACGTTAACCAGCGATTGACCTGAAAATAAAAGTCACTGTGATGAAATAATTAACGAGAGATTTAATAAAATAGTTTGCGTACCCTAATAGGAACTAGGATGTCAAGATAACAAACATACAAAACCGAAGCAATGAAACAAACAAATTATCAAATAAAAATAATATGGTAATAGTGGATGTTTGCTTAGATTTTGACGGTCACCGGATGTCAACTTTTTCTGTGGGTAAGAAGGATTCTCTACATGTATAAATCAGAGAATAGGTAAGAGCAAAAAAAAAGTGAATTAACACCATGGTGGTATGTCCAACAGACAAATAAACATACACCAAAAAATGCAGTTCAGAATATGGATATTGAACTCAAAGTCCTATAGAAAGGAAGAAATGATGAACGAAAACAACTAGTGAATCGAGAAATGATCGGAAGTTTTCTGATCACCTTCGAGCAACAATGCATGTTTGGGATATGTTCTCCTCCTCTGAATAGAAAACGCTGATTCAGGACGGGTCTGCGTTGTTGTCTGGATTGATCAAATGGAGTGAAATAGATGATTGCATCGACCAATTTACTCATCCTGGCTAGTATTCAAACAGCTTGCTTGGGTTTGCCAACTCGCATCATTAGTTGTGTTGGCGAGATCTTCGTCTGTCGACGACGAGGGAGTATGCTGTTCAGAAGTTTGCTTTGTTTTACTTAATGGTTGTAAAGCGTTATACTAAACAAAGATGGAAAATTATTCAATGAAACTGTGAATTTTTATCAACTGCAGTGAATGGGATACGTATTGCGTCCACAGAAACACCACCTAATTCGACGCGCGATGTTGGCTGGGGTAGAAATAGGTTGGAAAACAAACTAGTGACCTTCAAAGCAAATAACGGCATAAGTTAGTAGCTCTTGGTTTGTAGATGTAAGCTACCCTGTGATAAATGGTTGGAGACGTTGAGTAACATGAGTCACAATCGGTTGCGTTGGGACAGATGCATTTACTTTTGCCTTCCCTTAGATCCTGAATTTTAAAATTATCTCGTGATTTTGCATTCCACAAATTCATATTTTCTTCTTGAACCATACATATGCTGACTCTCTCTACTACAACTGATGTTATTATCTCTAATATTCTGATATCACAGTTTTCTTGATATAATATGGCAACCTGAACTGATGTATATATAAACTAGATCCTACAATGTATAATAAGTCACTGATTAATTACCATAAAATATCAAATTAACATAACAAACAGTGTACCTCAAATAGTGCTTGGCCTTTAGCAGGATAACTGGGATCCACTTCTTCTTTCCATGATAAAAAGGCGTCTTCACATACAAGCTCACAATTATAAAGGTTCATAAAACAACGAAACAAAAACCCTGTAATAAAACATGAAACGAGCATTACTTTAGTGCTGACAAAACTCATCTCTAAACAAAGCTTTTTTATGACATATTCCTTTAACTGAAAAGCTAATTAGTATAAAATTATTGGGGAATTATTAATAGCTCGAGACTTGAACTGAGCAAATAATCTATTAGTTTCCTTTTTTACAATAACGCAGTTCCTTAACAGAGATTAGTTTCAAAATGTTAAGCGTGAATTAGAAATTTTGTACATCGAATAGACGTCAAAACAATTTGGTCCTTATTTGATTGATAATAGCAATAAACGATCTAGTCACCGACTACCGACGAAGATAATTCAAAAACAAGAATGGAAATTAATTAACTCGCCAGGTACTTGAGTATGAGTCACACACTAAGTTTGAGGACTAATGATATTGCCCGGTTGTTCAGACCGAGGTAGATGAAGAGGGGGGACAAACCTGAAGGTTGAACACCTTAACCACTAAGCCACCATTCAAAAAAGAGAAGATTAATTGTTCCTATGGAATTCATTTATTTTCAAGACTTTTATTACGAACCGACTAGTGGATGCCAACCGAGTGACGTCAACAATGTAAAGCGAATTGAGTTAAACTGGAAACTATGAGCAACGAAAATACTCCCAAAGGTAGATAGTGCTGCGTTTGTCAAGAGGCTTGAAGAAAGACAATTAACTTCCCTTATCGTAAGTTTAGGGTGACTATTAATAAATAAGCACTTCGATTTTAAAGAAAATCTAAACCAAGCAACATTATACGATACGAAAAGCACATGATCACATTTCCCAATATGAATAGGTGCGAATATAAAAATCACAGTAATCTGTCAAAGACTGAGTTTTCAAGAAACCTAAGGATATTCCAGGCTGTGTGGAAGTTATCTCTAGGAGATTCTTGCTACACCAACAGTCAGCGAAAATTAGCACCTCATAATCACATGAGACCCATGCGAAGTGTACTACCTAGAAACATGTCCCTACAATTTACGGTGATTCTTAACAAAAGAACAAGGATAAGTGAAATTAAAAGTTACGAATCATGATGATTATAAAGACCAGGTAGATGACTTCATATTAGGATGAGTGTAAATAGGAAGATCCTACTGACCGTACCTTTTGGACCAAAATGTCGTAGATAATGTCGAAAAAAAAGGATGATTAGTTGATTATAAATTTGTAAACCGTGTAAGTCTTATCCATTATAGACTCAAAGAAATTCCGTGTATCATCTGCTGCAGCTCGCATTTAACTTAAAAATAAGGAACTAACAAGACATTTTATGTGACTGAAAAGTTTTTGATTCATTGATGTGAGACTATTAGTGTCGTTTCTGATAAAATCCTAGAAACGACTACGGATACATAACATATGGTCATGTTACCCAGTTTTAGTTTGAAACTCTGTCAAGTGATTGAATGTTTCAACTAAATACTCTTCTGAACCTTCATGTTGTCTTCTGTGATGCACTCATCAATAAAGTTTAACACCTGTAATTTTTAAACATCAAATTAACAACATTCATAAGTCATCAAAAAGCATAAAATGATGTAGCTTAGAGTAAGCACTACCATCCTGTGTTAAATGAATTAAATCTACAAATAGGATGCAAAATAACTGAAAGATAACAGCAAAGGAACCCATATAAAAGCAAAATAAGCGTTTTCAATTATTCCATTAGGTTTATCATGATAAAAATCTTTACCACCAACTGATATAAAAATGATTTACTGGACAACATAATTTGAAAGTATACTGACCTTTAGGCATATTTTTATCAACCCAGAAGGACTGCAGGTCATGAAGAGCATCCAACTGTCGGTCTGTTGAGCTTCGTAAAACCTCGATAAGTACATGAGGTACTATGCACTCCCACGCAGCTTTTTCTCTAGCCATTAAAGTGGGGGGTGAAGACAAACTGCCAAGATCAATAATTCCTACTCTGTGAATATATTCATAAATGACTGGCAAGCAAGCATGAATGTAGTCTGATGCTCGTATCCTGGCATCAATTGGATGATTTGAAAGGTAATCGTTGAATTTAGAAGCTGTGATTTTGTCAGACTCTTCTGGACATTTCCCTTCTAAGGATGAAGTATCCATAATAAGGTGAGATAGTTCCGTTGACAATCGTAAGCTTGGGACGAGAAAATCTAAATTACGTTCTTCTAGCAAAGACAACAAAGCTTCGTTTGTTTGACTCCCTTCTATAGATAAAATATCATAAGTGTAATAAAAGTAAATACTACTATTAGAAATATATGTTGAACAATTACAAAGATAGAATGACGTAGAATAAAGTGTTCAAGTCCGAAAACATTTAATTCATACGCACACTGGCGGTAGCGTATAGTGGCTTCCGTAAATGTATATCCTGAATGGTAGCACACAGAACATACACTGTAGCTGCCTCTGTATTCTTCAGTAATAGTTCAAATCCTTAGAAAATGGTTACAAAAATCTAACTGAAAAGGAAATATTTGACAGAAAAAACGAACCTGGGACCATTTGATTCATTTGCAATTCACTCTCTTGAAATAATTGGATGAGCAAGGAACGTCTGTCACTCAATCCCGCTCCAGATATACAAATTGTTTCACTTCCATCTTCACTAACAATTTGTGATAAACGTTGTAGAACGAGTAAAAACAAGGGATGATGTTTACCCCCACGTAAGGGCTCACCAAATTCAGACAGACTAATATGACGACTCCAAATTAAAGCAGCTGATAATAATGCTAGTTTGGACTTGGAATAAGTTAACTGTGTCACACATAAGATCTTGCTAAGGAGGTTTGACCATACAAGAGATAAAGGATGACACGACAACTTTGTGGGTTTCGTTTTGCGATTATTCTTAGATGCAAGGAATGATGTAGACGCATCGCGATGCAATAGATTTTCAGCACATGCTACTAATATTGCAGCTAATTCACATGGTTCCGCCTCCGCCAACTTAAGATTAGTACCTTGAGGAAACAAAAACCTTTAGGGTAAGATATGAGACATACAAGCAAACAAGTCAATAAAATCCAATGAGAATGTGTACTTGTGAGACTGAAACAGAGCTGTAATAACTATAGAAACATATTTGGAACAACTAAAAATATTGTACAACACTATGTAACATAAAAGCATTCTTGGAAATTAGATGTGTATCAAAATGGTCTGCATCGGCGTTCATGAATACATGATAAGCATATACCGTCCATACACTGAAAAACAGTATACAATTACTTAGAATCTCCTCAAATAGGCAACTATAATACTAACGTTTTAATTAAATAAATCTCGGTAATGTGAGTCACTTGACAAACCTGTTAGGTTTTACCACATTGTTTCTATGAGAAGCTACTAAGCGTTATAACATATTTCTGAAGCCCACTAACGTAGATATTTGTTAACTTATCATCACCTATGAACTGATATGCCGTACCTAGACCTAGAGCTTTTAAAACCAGAGTAAAATGGAATAGTAACAATTTCTAAAGAATTATCTCAGGACAATCCGATAAACAACTGATCGATTCACAATAATTTTCGGACATAAATTTGTAATTTCGTACAAATTTCTTTTCGTTTTTTATTAACCTTTGGATCCACTGTGAGAATAATGATGCCTGAAAACAGCGAAAGAAAACCATTGGGTTTCAGCGTTTCAACTAGGAAAATTTTTTCGACAATGTCATTTAGCAGAGCTATAAATACAAGTTTACAGCCTTAGTAAATGATGTCATTAAGAATGTTCTTCACTAAAGCATCTTTAATGTCTGAAAACGTGATTAGTGATAAGAGGAACAATCCTAGACAGACGTTATTTCCACTCGACGTTTATCGTAAAAAATAATAAATGGTAAGTTAGGGGTGTACTTGCACATAGAACCGATGAAGTTGGATCGGTACTTAATAATGAGACAAAAAGGTCACCGGAAAATGCTGAAAAATTTGCCGTTTCTGACGTCTTATACGTCAGCAAAGAGAGGATAATCGATCCGAGTAGAACAACTGCTCATGTAAGCGAATGATAATTTAAAACGTACGGAACATTATTTTTAGACAATAACATGTGCTAAAATAAATATGCAAACGGCAAACCAAAGATCGATTGTTATATAATCTCGAATGAGTCAAAATTTCCAAACAAGCATTTGTCTGAATCTTTAATTTTATGGTGTTGTCCATTTAACAGTCAGACAGACATCAACATCAATGAAACAAATGTGCGTTGGCCCAGGTCGCTATAACTGATTAGCACGAGATGGAAATAACAAGAGACAAAATGAAAATGAAGTGGTAAAAAGGAAAACTAAACTGTGGGAATATGGTTTAAAAAGACATTCGATTAATGTTTATTCTTATATCCTAAACTTATCCACACATTTTACCATTGTCATTATTATTATTATCTTTATCACTATTATTATTACACTTACTAACTTTTTGAGAAATCTATTCAGCATCCAGCCCTATCTACTATACCTGACCTAATTCATATTATTCTACACATGACGTAATTTCTGATTTTTATTCCATTATTCTCTCTCACCCCATATTGACCATATTTATTCTGATCATTTAGGTCACAATTTCATTTCACTTATAAACTGATTCAAGTTAACACTTTATATTAGTCAACCCCAACATTAACGATCTGATTTAGTTTTATATGAAAAACAACAATTCTTGATTCACATATTACAATTTTAAATGATGTACTCTGCCTTAAACTTGGCCAATTTTATGGATTATTAAATTGGATTTATAATTGTAGAACCTGATGAGAAATTATTGAAAAGAATATTCTTCCTTCATATAATTGTTTTAATTCATGTTCTCATGCCTAGGCCGTAATATGCATTTTTCATCGTATATACACTCCACTTTCAAGCATGAAGGGTAATGATATAAATGTATGAATGACATAGTCTTCAATGGGATAATTTAATGGACACAACTGAAACCAGAACATATAACTTAGGAATAAAAATAAAGCAACTAGTCTCACCTTCTTCACATAAATGTAAAACAGCGACGGCAAGAACTTCGGTTGTTATTCGACTGAAATCCGATGAATTTAATTGATTTTTAACCAGGATAGGATCACGAGAATCTCCCAATAAAGTGAGCTGTAAATTAAAAGTTTAGTGAAAAGCAATCAAATTTATTTCTGTTGATACATTTGGTATCATGATGAGCTTGATGGTGAAGGAGTTCGACTTTCAGTAAATAAATCTTAGGTTTACGCTTCAATAATCCTACTTTCGTTTGGGCAACTGAGAAGCATCATTAAACACTTAGTGTAGCTCATCCCGACCGTTGTTGCTACCTTGACGTGGTGGTCGGGCTTGCCTATCGTGATGAAGCAACCGAGCTATACTGGCTGGAACAGCCGTTCCTCAAGGTCCTACCATGTCAGACAGGTCGGTTGAAGAGCGGTAAGACTAAAAGCAACAAACTTAAGGTCCGAAGGCGAAGTCGTACTGCTGACTGTACAGAGGTGTGACAGCAGTAAGGTGTTTCCCTCGGACAACCAGCATAACAGCGATGCTGCCTTCCCACAAGGAGGGGTGGGGTTAGAAAAGGTCGACCCTAAGAATGCACACCTCGCCTTATCCCACGGATATCCGTCTCCGGAGGTAGGGTCTCAGCAAGTACGGAGCTAACACAAAAATTACCCATAAAAAGGTCGTGTGTGACCGGCCTCAAGCAGTTGCCCCTTGGGCACTGCGGTCACGCTCTCAGGTCACTGAGACCACCTCTAATCCAATTTCCTTTTCAGGTACCTCCAGAACAACCCTTCCACGGTGTGGGCAACCGGGAAGTGAATAACCACCCTCATACCTCTAACAGCACTCAAGACCACTGTATTCATAATCAACCTCCGTCTTCACTTCCTATTATTCCTCCTACATCGACTTTCAACCCTAAACATCCTCCTTCGGCTTCCTCCTCAAGTGTCACCATAGCCAACGATTCTAGTGCTTAAAACACTGTCCCAGGTCTACTGAAACCTCGCTCCAAACTACACATTGGAGCCTTCAACGTACGCCACAACAACGTAGGACCAGGCACATATGTGCATCGGTCCAAGTTGCCATACCTTATTAACGCAACAAGATGGAGACCGGATTCATAAAAGTAGTTAATTCAGAGGTGGTAATATATAAAAGAAAGATTGCAATAAGGATATAGTACAGGAAGAAAGAATTAGTTCGTAGAAAGAAAGATATGAAGCGATTTCAATCTCAGTTTAAGGGAAGACAGAGAGTGTATACACCGACGCAATTGTGATCGATTCTGAGCCATGTCACCGAGAGTCTCCAACCATTGGTTACGATAGTCACGCAGACCCCAACCAAGTAGTCTGCATCTACCAACATGGCTCAGACTAGAAGCTAGTGACTTCAAGCACTGATGCCACGTTTTGGTTTGGCCGCCCCTAACTTTCTTCCAACCATCCCGAACACCGGTTAGCATTGCACGTCGTGGTAATCGGTATTCAGGCATACGTAACACGTGGCCCAACCATCTCAGTCGATGAAGATTCATAACCTCATCAACTGATTTACCATCATTCCCTAATACCCTGCGTCTAACCTCACTATTACTTACCTGGTGATCCCAGCAGACGCCAGCAATATTTCTAAGGCATCTGTGGTCAAATACTAGTAGCTTACGAGTGTCTTCTACTCTTAATGGCCATGTTTCGCTGCCGTAAATTAAAACAGAACGGACTGCCGCGCAGTATATTCGTCCCTTAATTGATAGACGGATATCTCGCCTTCGCCAAAGGTGACGTAAGTTGGCAAAAGCCAATCGAGCTTTTCGAATCCGTGCTGAGATTTCGTCAGACACCAACCCATTAGGGCTGATCAGACTTCCAAGATAAGTGAAGTTGTCAACGCGTTCGACTACTTCACTCCCTATCCTTAGTTCAGGTGTTGACGCAGACCAGTCCTGAAGCAACAACTTGCATTTAGAGGGAGAGAAGTGCATTCCAAACATTCTGGCATTGTTGCTCAGTGCTACCAGAAGACTCTGCATTTTGTCAGCATCTTCACCAAACAGGACTATGTCATCTGCGTATTCTAAGTCGATAAGTGGACCTCCTGGTAGGAGATCAATACCCGAGAACTCAGTCGATGAGAATGTTATTTCCATCAGTAGATCTATGATGAAGTTAAACAAAAATTGGGAAATTGGACAGCCTTGACGGACATCACTTGAGGTTGCAAAAGTAGATGACAGTTCTCCATAAGCTCTGACTCGACTGGTAGTGTTCGAGTAAATAGCCTTCACAAGGTTTATGTACTTCCGAGGTACGCCTTTCAATGACAGACACTGCCACAGAATCTCGCGGTCTACCGAGTCAAATGCTGCTTTTAAGTCAAGAAAGACCACCATTGTCGGACGCCGATAAGTATGCCTATGTTCTAGAACCTGACGAATGGTGAATATGTGGTCGATGCAGCTACGACCAGGTCTGAAGCCAGCTTGATTCTCTCGTGTTTGCAGTTCACGGGTCTTATTTAGGCGTCTGATAATTATGGAGGCTAGTATTTTAGATACTATATTAGTTAAACTAATCCCTCTGTGGTTGTCACAAGATGATTTTGACCCTTTCTTATATATTGGGACGATAAGTGATTGCGACCAGTCAGATGGGATAACGTCTAACTCCCAGATCTTAGCTAAAATATTAGTCAACCTAATCGCTAAAATTGGACCACCATCCTTAAAGACCTCTGGAGCCAATCCATCTGGACCAGCTGCCCTTCCTCGTTTCAGAATAACTATAGACTTTTGAACTTCAGCAAGAGTTGGGGGACCTACTTCAATGTTCCATTCACACTGTCTGGGAATGGAGGGTAGTTGTAGAGTAGCTGAAGGCCAGCTGAACTGTTCTCTGAAATGTTCCGCCCATCGTTCTAAACGCCTGGACTGGGAGCAGATGAGTGTATCGTCTTTTTCCGATATAATCTCACTTACACTTGACTTATTAATTCCAGTTTCTTTTATTAGTCTGTAAAGCTGTCTTGTGTTCCCTATAGTCGCCGCCTTTTCCATCTCTTTTGCTTTCGTTGCCCACCACTGCTCACGGTCGTTTCTTAGACTTTTTCTTAACCTAGATCTGATTTGTTGTCGCTCTTCATCATGTTCGGAACCTGATGGAACGAGTTTGCGAGAATCCATCAGTGCAATAGACCTAGAGGAAGTCCATTGGTTCTTTGAAACTCTGTGGTTTAAGTTGCTAATAGATGTCACTGCTGCTTCCACAGCTGCTTGTATATCTTTCCAAGCAACATCTGGGTCAGCCTCGTCTTCAGAACTACCTAATCGTGACCTCAGTTGTTCCTGGAACCTACTTTTGGTTTTCTCGTTACTCAATTCAGTTCTAATGGCTCTTTTTAGTGTGGCTTTTTTGCGTCCAGTGAGGCGCAAGCAGATGCGTGCCCGTATTAGGGCGTGGTTGGAGTCCAAGCAGATAATCCAGAATGAGCGACAATCTTCTACCGACCCTCTCCAACGATGACTGATGGCAATATGGTCTATTCGAGTCCATTGTTGGTTTGGTGTAGGGGGTCGCCACGTTAGACGATGTCTCTTCTTATGCTTAAAATTTGTGTTTGCTAAAAATAAGCGATTGTCTGAGCACAGTTGCAGCAGACGGTCACCATTATCTGTTCGCTGTGCCGGAATGCTAAAATATCCACCTAAATGCCTTTCTGTTTGGTTTAAACTACCTATCTGAGCATTAAAGTCACCTGCTACGAGTACTATATCTGAGCGTTTAGCTTTCTGAAGAAGTTCGGACAGCTTTCTGTAAAATCCATCTTTCACATCATCTGAGCTGCAGTCAGTGGGAGCGTAGGCAGAAACGACGAAAAGGCAACGACGTGTGTCCCTATCCTTCCGACTTCTTACGGAGCCGTTTAGCCGAACAGCACATAAGCGACTGTTGACGGGGATCCACTCTAGCAGTGCTTGTTCCGCCTTCATGCTTAGTGCTATGCCTACTCCTGCCAGTCCACGAGAACTGGCCATCGGGTCTCCAGATACACGTAGGGTGTATCTCGTTGGCTCTCCGTTTTGCCGAGGTGAGGACAAGTGAATGACCACACTGGGATCCTGTATGCGTGTTTCAGAGACACAGCATACATCAATGGAAAGAGACTCTAGGGTTCTAGCCAGGGAAGCCTGTTGACTGATTTGACCTAGGGTGCGTACGTTCGGGTACCTAGCCTGTCGTATGCCCTGATGGTGTTCTCGTAACTTTCGGGTTGCCTGATCTGCCAAGGGCGATGGGACAGTGCATGACGCTATTGTTGTGTGCTAGGTTCAAAGAGAATTGTATGCTATATGCATGCAAATCCGCCCCGTTATTGTTCCCATTTCCCGACCGTTGTTGCTACCTTGACGTGGTGGTCGGGCTTGCCTATCGTGATGAAGCAACCGAGCTATACTGGCTGGAACAGCCGTTCCTCAAGGTCCTACCATGTCAGACAGGTCGGTTGAAGAGCGGTAAGACTAAAAGCAACAAACTTAAGGTCCGAAGGCGAAGTCGTACTGCTGACTGTACAGAGGTGTGACAGCAGTAAGGTGTTTCCCTCGGACAACCAGCATAACAGCGATGCTGCCTTCCCACAAGGAGGGGTGGGGTTAGAAAAGGTTGACCCTAAAAATGCGCACCTCACCTTACCTCACGGATTTCCGTCTCCGGCGGTAAGGCCCTTTGAAGAACGGAGCTAACACGTCAAAAACCTTCCACAAAAAGGTCGTGTGTGACCGGCCTCAAGCAGTTGCCCCTTGGGCACTGCGGTCACGCTCTCAGGTCACTGAGACCACCTCTAATCCAATTTCCTTTTCAGGTACCTCCAGAACAACCCTTCCACGGTGTGGGCAACCGGGAAGTGAATAACCACCCTCATACCTCTAACAGCACTCAAGACCACTGTATTCATAATCAACCTCCGTCTTCACTTCCTATTATTCATCCTACATCGACTTTCAACCCTAAACATCCTCCTTCGGCTTCCTCCTCAAGTGTCACCATAGCCAACGATTCTAGTGCTTAAAACACTGTCCCAGGTCTACTGAAACCTCGCTCCAAACTACACATTGGAGCCTTCAACGTACGCACTCTATGTCAAATCGGTCAGCAGGCTTCCTTGGCTAAAACCCTAGAGTCTCTTTCCATTGATGTATGCTGTGTCTCTGAAACACGCATACAGGATCCCAGTGTGGTCATTCACTTGTCCTCACCTCGGCAAAACGGAGAGCCAACGAGATACACCCTACGTGTATCTATCTATTAGCAACTTAAACCACAGAGTTTCAAAGAACCAATGGACTTCCTCTAGGTCTATTGCACTGATGGATTCTCGCAAACTCGTTCCATCAGGTTCCGAACATGATGAAGAGCGACAACAAATCAGATCTAGGTTAAGAAAAAGTCTAAGAAACGACCGTGAGCAGTGGTGGGCAACGAAAGCAAAAGAGATGGAAAAGGCGGCGACTATAGGGAACACAAGACAGCTTTACAGACTAATAAAAGAAACTGGAATTAATAAGTCAAGTGTAAGTGAGATTATATCGGAAAAAGACGATACACTCATCTGCTCCCAGTCCAGGCGTTTAGAACGATGGGCGGAACATTTCAGAGAACAGTTCAGCTGGCCTTCAGCTACTCTACAACTACCCTCCATTCCCAGACAGTGTGAATGGAACATTGAAGTAGGTCCCCCAACTCTTGCTGAAGTTCAAAAGTCTATAGTTATTCTGAAACGAGGAAGGGCAGCTGGTCCAGATGGATTGGCTCCAGAGGTCTTTAAGGATGGTGGTCCAATTTTAGCGATTAGGTTGACTAATATTTTAGCTAAGATCTGGGAGTTAGACGTTATCCCATCTGACTGGTCGCAATCACTTATCGTCCCAATATATAAGAAAGGGTCAAAATCATCTTGTGACAACCACAGAGGGATTAGTTTAACTAATATAGTATCTAAAATACTAGCCTCCATAATTATCAGACGCCTAAATAAGACCCGTGAACTGCAAACACGAGAGAATCAAGCTGGCTTCAGACCTGGTCGTAGCTGCATCGACCACATATTCACCATTCGTCAGGTTCTAGAACATAGGCATACTTATCGGCGTCCGACAATGGTGGTCTTTCTTGACTTAAAAGCAGCATTTGACTCGGTAGACCGCGAGATTCTGTGGCAGTGTCTGTCATTGAAAGGCGTACCTCGGAAGTACATAAACCTTGTGAAGGCTATTTACTCGAACACTACCAGTCGAGTCAGAGCTTATGGAGAACTGTCATCTACTTTTGCAACCTCAAGTGATGTCCGTCAAGGCTGTCCAATTTCCCAATTTTTGTTTAACTTCATCATAGATCTACTGATGGAAATAACATTCTCATCGACTGAGTTCTCGGGTATTGATCTCCTACCAGGAGGTCCACTTATCGACTTAGAATACGCAGATGACATAGTCCTGTTTGGTGAAGATGCTGACAAAATGCAGTCTTCTGGTAGCACTGAGCAACAATGCCAGAATGTTTAGAATGCACTTCTCTCCCTCTAAATGCAAGTTGTTGCTTCAGGACTGGTCTGCGTCAACACCTGAACTAAGGATAGGGAGTGAAGTAGTCGAACGCGTTGACAACTTCACTTATCTTGGAAGTCTGATCAGCCCTAATGGGTTGGTGTCTGACGAAATCTCAGCACGGATTCGAAAAGCTCGATTGGCTTTTGCCAACTTACGTCACCTTTGGCGAAGGCGAGATATCCGTCTATCAATTAAGGGACGAATATACTGCGCGGCAGTCCGTTCTGTTTTAATTTACGGCAGCGAAACATGGCCATTAAGAGTAGAAGACACTCGTAAGCTACTAGTATTTGACCACAGATGCCTTAGAAATATTGCTGGCGTCTGCTGGGATCACCAGGTAAGTAATAGTGAGGTTAGACGCAGGGTATTAGGGAATGATGGTAAATCAGTTGATGAGGTTATGAATCTTCATCGACTGAGATGGTTGGGCCACGTGTTACGTATGCCTGAATACCGATTACCACGACGTGCAATGCTAACCGGTGTTCGGGATGGTTGGAAGAAAGTTAGGGGCGGCCAAACCAAAACGTGGCATCAGTGCTTGAAGTCACTAGCTTCTAGTCTGAGCCATGTTGGTAGATGCAGACTACTTGGTTGGGGTCTGCGTGACTATCGTAACCAATGGTTGGAGACTCTCGGTGACATGGCTCAGAATCGATCACAATTGCGTCGGTGTATACACTCTCTGTCTTCCCTTAAACTGAGATTGAAATCGTTTCATATCTTTCTTTCTACGAACTAATTCTTTCTTCCTGTACTATATCCTTATTGCAATCTTTCTTTTATATATTACCACCTCTGAATTAACTACTTTTATGAATCCGGTCTCCATCTTGTTGCGTTAATAAGGTATGGCAACTTGGACCGATGCATATATGTGCCTGATCCTACGTTGTAGCTGACTGACTAGTGTAGCTCATACAAAGGTACCCGGTGAATGCTTATTACTATTATTAATTGTTAGAGACTAAAACATTGTTCCTTGATATATATATATATATATATATATATATATATTATATATATGGTGAAAAACCGAAATAAACATCTCTGTGCTCTAATTACTGTTTTACTTAATACCCATATAGGAATTTTCACTACATAGGAATATAATGACGCTACGCTCACATCTAGAAAGTGAATAGAAAATTTATAAAAGAACTTCGCTAAATGAAAGTATAGTTTAAATAAATAAATGTTTATCTTATAGAATGATTAGCTACTTAAGTTACTACGTCTGAGTGTTTGATTTTACGAAATAGGGAAAATAGCTCCGGGTTTCGTTCAATGACAGCATAAGCCAAAACTACGTATAACTGATATGATGGATAAGAATTACCCCTAATAGTCAGGTTTTAACTGACTGAAGGGCGAGTAATCTTTTTGTTAATAGTTTGTATGTTTTTTTATTTAATCAAGTTTTTTGGTCAGTGCTCATGTTTCTTGATATCTATACAACAGGGAACATAATTAAATAATTAGTTCTTGTAAGTAGTTAGCACTCAGTAATACCACGTTATCACATTTCATTTACTGGTTCGCATTCTTCGTTCTAATAATCCAAAACTCATATTATTAAAACCTTATTTGATAACATCCATCATTTCATATTTTTAAAGTGCTATCCACTCTGATACTGCAAAAGTAGCTGTCAACCGAAACCCAGTCTTGGAACGATCCCTCAGCTATTTAACTCAATCCTTCACATAGACCTCAGGCCCGACAAGATCTAGCCCTTCCATTGAAGTTGGTTTTGGTTGTGCGAAATTGTATAAGCCGATGGGATTCGCAAATAAGGCTACAGATGTAATAGTTAGATCTTGCAGGTTAACATTACAATAAAAAATGACTACAAAAACTTACTAATCTAAGGGCGATTTTCCTGTTTTCATCAACAGCGTGCGTGGTATTGTAATTGTTTTCAGCAAGATTGTTTGATGACTGGACCATGTTGTTCAAATTAGATGATCTAACCTGGTCAAATTTACGATTACATGGTTTCTGAACTGCTGCTTGAATATCCGGGAAATTCGGTTTGTTTATTAAGTGAGGACGTGAAACAGAAGATTGTGGTTTAAACGGAAGAGTTGGATTTGAGCTACCATAAATCGCCGTGTTTGGAACACATTTAGGATAAGACCAAACAGGTTTTTGGGTACTGGCTTCATTTCCACCACTGACCGATAACCTTTCTTTTTGCAGGTACGCAGGCTTTGAAAAAAAACCCAAACAAATGAAGGTCAGTTATACTTGTTTAATAAGTGGGTCGGGACAACAACCCAAGTACAAAACCAATCAGAGATAAACTGATATCATTACTGAATGTTATTAAATAGAATACTATATTCATGTATTATCAAAGTAAACAGACACTAGAAATGTAAAAAGAGAGGGTCACTAGTGTACAGTGTCAATATTTAACTAACAGTTTGATTGTATACACATACTAGGAACTAGACTACGTTTGTAGTTAGGAAAGTTAAGTTTCACATAACTTAGTGTTTTCGGTTGATTGAGATTTAAAATTTGTTTTTACTACAGTAACAGACGCCTCTTGTCGGTTTTACGTAGTTATTTCTGACAAAGTCCACAAAACCAAACTCAGTGAGGTGCTCGTTGACTTTCATAAATAGTGACTGATTGGGACTTTCAGGTTTTTTGGTTCTCATTGCATAAACTTTGATCAAGTATACTAACCCACAAATATCTTGATGTTAAGACGATACACAAATGAAGCAATAACACCAAGAACAAAAATAGAGAAGTATAGTAAACTTGAGATATTAAACACTAATACCAATTATTTGAACAAGTGGAACAGAATGAAGAGTTGGATCCTTAGACTACAGTAAGATTCTGAATAAAACGGAATTACGTCCAAAAACGATGTTTGGTTTCAGGAAACTAATGAGATTTAAGAGATTTACCTCAAAAGGATCAGAGGAACTGACTTGCCCAATGAAATGGATAAAAGACGTGGTGCAGGATGCACTGTTTTTGGAAATGGATGTCATATTATCAGAAGTGGATTTTGTATGGAAGCTCTGTACTTCCGAATGGACAGGTTGTTTTGTTTCGTTAAAAACATTTGATGTCGAGTTATTCTGCAAATTCCCAGCAGCTTCCGCAGCCAGTTTTCTGAGCATTCGAGGAGGTAAGTTAGAATTAGTTGTTGATATGCCGTTACTCAGAGTAATAACGGAGTTCCGTAGTTTTGGGTTGACACCACGTACCCACCCTAAATCGCTACTGACTTCATTTTTCTCCGTTCTTTTGGTCCAGCTGTCAGTGTTATTTGGTTTAGAGCCTTGATGAGGAATATTGTTTGAATGGGACAAATCATTTTTGCTAGACAAAAAGCGCCGATTAGCTGTGGCAACACCAGCCTGTGGACGTCCATGAAATTGACTGATGGGGCTCTCTCCAATACGATTTCTGTTATCCAACAAACAGAAATCACGAGGACTTTGACGACAGAGTTCTTCACCCATTCGCGCCAACTCCATCCAACTTTTAGCTTCACCAGTATTAAGTCCATTATTATTTTTCGATGAACTAGAGCTCAGACCACTTACGAAAGGAAATTCACCATTCACTGAAGAGTTACTTGAAGCTGATGAGTGACCCATAAAAGCACTCCCAGGTACATCTGGCTGTGTGACAGAGCGCTCACTTGGAGTTGGGGCAACAAGGACTCCAGATTCCTAAAAAGTAAAGCGGTATTAAAAACAATGTGGCGGAAATGGAAAACAGAAGAATTTAGGGTGAGACTATAATTTATGGACGATCTTTGAGCGACGCTGAAGTGACCTTGAAAGTGAAGAGCTACTAGTTAGGACTAAATGAGAGTTATACAGCAGTTAGAATTCTCATTTACAGTTGATGGTTAGGGTTAAAAATTAGATTTAGGGTTTTCATCACAAACTGACATCAGCTATAATGCCAAAACTCTATTTAGCCAAATGAATGAATTCCGCGCCCGGATTCGTGACTCGTCGTCTTATATCTGATTGGTTCGTCCATAAATTAGTCTCGCCAAATTTGGTTGTTAGAATAATTAGTGGTCTCTTAGAAGGAAATAAAACTAGTTCGTTATGTTGCTCAAATGTAATAAAATCCATGATAATTGAGAACCAATGAATTATTAGCCGTAAAACAATTGTATTATTTTTATTTGCATCCACATGAACTTCAGTACACAGAAGCACTTACCTCCCTCTACCAACTAACGCGAATCAATTGGATTGCAGAAATGTTTTTTCTTGGTAATTAAACAATTCCAAGCAACTCCATCATTTGCAAAAATAATGTAGCCTGTAAATAAACTACATGTAACGTTTTGCTTATTGTAACTCGGAAATTAAAGAACATAGACTGGATTTATTTTATTCTTAACAGGCTTCAGATAATTCCAAGTTATTTGCTGGATCCTCAATGAAGTGGATTTAACAAACTAGTAAAACCAAATGTCATCAATTTTTACTTCGTCCCTCTTTGTGTTTTTATTTTTATGTGGAGTATTGATACTCACTAACAAAATTGATAGGACCACTACAAAATTTAACAAAAATTGGATGTGATGATTCATGTTAAGACAAACTTAATGGCAAGAAAATACTTTGAAGACAGATTTTTAAAAATAAAATTCACGTTGACACAAAACATTCAGCAAAATTTTACTTTTAATATTTCCAAGCGAATATCTCGAAGGAAACGTGGCTTGTTTGTTTCTGTACGCTGACCAGCTCGACGTGGAATCCAATTGTTTTCCCTTAGGTCTATCAAATCTTCAATCATGAACCGCACTCTAGAAGATAAGATGCAGTTATCATTCGGCTTCGAAAACTTTTTTCCTTCCGTAGATACATTTTCATGTTTGTTGGATGTTAATCCATTTGAATCGTAAGCGCGTGATAATATACGACGCAATCGATGAAAATATTGATCCATTAAGTTTTTCGCTTTCGGTGTGTCCATGTGCTTCCCAACAGCAGTCAAGAACTGACAAAGACATTCCAAGTCAGCGGACAAAGAGCGCTCCCGAATTGTATGGGCTGCAAAAAACATTTACACAACTGCATAGAAACCTATAATGAGGGTTGACTTAGCGGAAACTAAGACAAGACAATGATCAATACAACATTAGAGCAATGATATAATTCATTTACCGAGTATGCCTGTATTTATTGCGTACCGTAAAGGTCGGTGGTATAACCTGGTTTTCTAAAGCAATATGGAGTCTGAACATATGATCTACTGATTAAAATTCAAGTGATTTAGCCACTAGGCCGGTTCTTCGCTAGCAGTGTCCAACTGATGATCTGGATCAACTCACAGATAAATACTTATATGTCAATTAGGGTGAGCGGTCCTAAACCTGCAAATTTAATTCGTATTCCACTGAATATCCATGAACCTCAACAAAAATGGACGAGCTAAATTTAATGTAGAGGTTAATCATAATTAAAGATATCCAGCTCGGGGACAGCAGCCTTTGATGTCAGTAGTCGTAATTCCACTAAGAAAGGTTACTTGTCTCACTTCAACTAAACTTTATTTAGTGATAATTTTAACACAGATATTGGTACAAGGAGGCACCAAATATATATGCGCCACACAATTCTCATTCGACATGTGTGAGGGCTGTGATACTGCCCGGGTGCCCAAACCGAAGCAGGTGGTTTTCTTAGGGGGGCCACTCCCCTCAACTAAACTGAAGAATAGGGGAATGAATTACCATCTGTCTCATAAAAGCATCAAACCTAGAAGTCATCAACAAACAAACTTAAAATAGGCACCCACTAACCTACTCAGAAGTGTTCTGAAGTCTCAAATAATGAGCAGATATGTTGTAAAATGATAGCAATTTCTATTGGTTTCTTTTACGTGGAAAGCAATCGAAGTTACCGACCTAGAAATAAACAGGTAGCTTCAAAGTACCAAGCGAACGGGTAAACAACGGTTTAGGTCTGATAGTCTAAAACAAGATCAACGAAGGATTAGTGAGCGCTCGCAGGCTTTTGTATCAAGCCCAGAGCAGCTGCTGAGAAGAAAGATATACATATTCCTGAACCAATTAGATTGACATTGCATACATCGATTCACTGACCTAATGAACAAGACTTTTCTTGACTTAACTTGATACTTACGAAAATTCTACTCCGTACTATAAAAGTTTACTCGCCTGTTTTGTTTTTTTCCTGCGCAGATGTATGTATCTCCGAATCGTTGACTGAACTAAGTTGCCCTTTCCTGGAAAGAAGTTCTTGAACACAGTTATGCAGAACTTTTTCGGACATAACACCACAAATCCCAAGTTCAGCGATGAAGCGTAGATTCCCCAAGCACTTCTGACGTGAGATCTGATCATCACAAACATCTCTGGTCTTGAACTCATCTTCACAACACTTAATTAAGAATATCTGAAAAGTCTGAAGGGAGGTTAACAATTCAATTAATTTACCGATTGAGAACCCCCTGACTCAAAATTAGGGATACTACTGCATAGTTTTAAACACAATTGGGCGTACAAAGAAGTAAATTTTGGTTCATTGATGGCTTTTTGATAAATCTAAAATGGTAAGTACTGATAATAAGCTTACTAATTGAGCAATGACATGAAGGGAAGTTGAAGTGATATCTAAGCTAAGAAGTTTATCACCCTGTTGTTCGAAATTTTCAGCAGTAAGCTTATTAAGAATGCTAATTCGGAATTATTCAAACGGAGCAAACTTACAACAGAACCTCCTTACGAATAGAATCGGTATGGCTTGATTTTGAAGCCAGCGTGACGCCAGCGGTCCATCTCGATGTGTGTGGCTCACGTAAAATTTCTGATTTATTAGAGATTAAGTAACTATCTGAAGACTTGTTATTCCGACCGGCTGTCTCTAAGCAAGCAGTCCTTCCAGCTTTGTCCAGAATGTTGGTATTAAAGGGCGAATAACTTTGATCCCAAACCAAACCTAATAGAAAAACACTGGAGATGAAACAGAAGGCCAATACATATAAAACAGGCCCGCAGTACAGAGCCACAATCGGAATTTGTATTTACTTACAGGGGAATTGAAACTAAATGGACTCTGCCGCCAGTTTCGTCAGGTATTAAAACAAGACGTTTATGATTGAGGTCAGATTTGACATTACTTCTATTCTCGCAACCATCCCTATCTTCCAATCTTTTTTTACATGATCTACACAGTTCTGGATTTTGGTTTTTCAGGGAATTATTTGGTTACATATGTCTATTATCCCTCGTCAAAGAGCATAGGCCGCTCACAGGCACTCTCCACCCAACCCTGTGCTGGAAAATCTTTTCCAGTTCTTTCCAGTCGCTATTCATCCTTCTCATGTCTGACTCCAATTCTCGGCTCAGCGTGTTCATTGTCCTTCCACTTTTCCGTTTCCCTTCAGGATTCCAAGTTAGCGCTTGCTTCGTCATGCAGTTTGAATATTTCTGCACAGTCCTATCCACCTCTAGAGTCTTTTCCCAATCCTTTCAGTTGGAGGCTGGTTTGTTCTTTGCCATAGTAGGCCGTTGCTGACCTTGTTTATCCAACGGATCTGGTGCATCGTGAGTAGACAATTGTTTACAAATACATATACCTTTCGGATGATGGCTGCTTAGTTCCCCAAGTTTCAGTTCCATTCGATCGAACTGTCTTTACATTTGTATTGACAATTCTGATTTTGGTACTGGCTGACAGTTGCTTTGCTCATATGCACAGTCCGAGCAGTCTAGATGCATCCAAACTGTCCACTGTATTTATTGCTTGTCCTGAGATGTTGAGGTCTTTATAATCCAGTCAATCACTATGTAGAAGAGGAAGGGCGGGATTAAGCAACCCTGCCTGACACCGGTTTTCATTTGGAATTCATCTATCAACTGCTCTCCATGAACGACTTTGCACTGTAGTCCGTTGTAAGAATTCTGTATGACGATGACGTTCTTCTCAAGTACACTAGTGTCGAAGATTATCCCACGAGGTTCTCCTATCCATGCTGTCAAGTGCTTGTGTCTTTCATTCGGTTCAGCAAAATTGTTGAAAACTTGCCCTGACACTGACAATAGCATGATGACTCCATAGTTCTCACGTTTTCTCAGATTTTCTTTCTTTCGTATCTTGATGAGGTGACCTTCTTCCCAGTCTGCCGGCACTTGTTCTTCATCCTAAATCTTCCTAAATAGCATACTTGAAGTTTCTTCAATGTCTGACTTCAGTGGTTCAGCTGTTGTATTGTCAGGTCCTACTGCCTTCCCACTCTTAATTTGTGTGATGGAAATCCTGACTCCCCCCATCGTTGGTGGAGTGACATCTATGGGAAGGTCTGTGGATGCTGCTTCGATGTACGGTGGATTCAATGGAGTTGGTTTATTCAAGAGTTCTTAAGAGTGTTCTACCCATCTGTTCCTCTGTTCTCAATTTTTACTAATCGACTTGCTTTCCATGTCTTTGACGAGTTCAAAAGTAGCTGATTCCAGACCACTGAGATTCAAAAATGGTCTACTTGAAGCCTCAAACTGAGTACTCCTAAAGACATAGATCTCAACCACCAAAGAAGTTGCTTTAATATAGATAAGTTAAAAGCCGCGAAACGAGGAAGAAAAATTGATCAGTTAGTAAGATTGGGTGAATGGGCTACACGTCTCCTCTGAACGATTGCTAATAAAGTGTACACGATTCCTTAATACATATGTTTTGTCAAATGAGTTTGACAGCATACATATTTTTACCACAACTGGTCCTCACGCATTATTATGAACCCTTTCATGTTTCTGTAGAAGTTTTGTTCTCTGAGCTGGCTCGTTTGGTCGCATAGATCTCATCGTTCTTCTGAACGACATCATCAGCACAAAATGTTTGTGCTCAGAGAACAAAACTTCACCGAAGTCGTCCACCTAAGCTATAATTCTTGCCCACCACCCTTTCATGTTCATCACATAGATAGTAGTGCAGAGTGTTATGATTGCTCTGGTTTTGGCCAGGTGTGTAGTGTGTTTGCGAAATAAACGTCTCCGGACAGTGTAGCGGTTAGGCTACCAAGTGATACGGATCCGAATCTGGATGTCAGAATTTCCTAGGAAGGAACATAGGACTTGGAAAGTGAACCTGAACTATTAGAGACTTTTTAAAAATGTAGATTGTCAAATGCTTACGGAGACACATCTGTAGAGACGGGCTTCTACGTAATTTTCCATTTGCATACAAATAATATTGTGCCTTTTTAGTGTAAAGAAAACTAGGGACCTGAGGAGTTTAGTGGTACGAAACTAAACTGCATCTGGACATCTCTTCAGACTCCTTTCTATTACTGATTTTTCAAACCTTTAGTGACCGAAACAGTGAAGGGTGAAAGCATATGCAACTCTAAACACATTATGGGAATTCTGAAAGGAAATTACGTTTAACATCCATGTGATCTTGCTTCTATCATTCTCAACAGGTAATCAATGATCCGGCGACAGCAGTTTTCCGGTGACCGCATTGACCTGAGAGAAAATCATTCATTCGACACGCACTAACTGTTAGTTACCAGGTCAATTTAGTAAAGAAGTGAATGAACTGACTGCACTGAATGTCGATAACAATTTGTGACTATGCTTATCATGAAGAAGCGAATATATATTGCACATGACGGAATCGAACATCGTCACCCAAATAGGCAACCAGGCTCGAATCAAACCCGATTGGATAAACGAATGCCATCACACGGAGTTTCAGTACATTCGGAAAAATCGATAACTCCGTTAACTTCATCCAACATATTTCTCTTTGCTTACATAATGTGTCTCATGTCATTCCTACCAGTTTTCTGAAGGGCTTTCGGGTAGTTCACAGACCAATTTGCAACTGTGATTCTGTTCCTTTTTGGGATTTTTATATATCATTGCCTTATTTTTTATTTTTTTAAACATTGTGATTTTTTTTCATGTTTTTTTCTTGAATAATATATATTTTCCCCTCGTTCATTATCGTACTTCATACTTCATCATGACTGAACAGACACCTAAAGTACTCAAGCTTAAGACTTTGTCCCCGCCTTCGTTTCAACTGATGCCTTTCTGGCCCGACAACATCGAAGCCTGGTTTTGCTACGCAGAAGCCGACTTCTCCGAGCACGGCGTGATCGACACACGTGCACAATTCCTCGCAGTAGTCAAGGCACTACCGCGCGAATTCAACAGGTACGTAACACCTAGTATGTTTACTAGTGATGTTTCCGATCCTTACGAAATCTTAAAACGCTCGATTCTTAAACGAGGAGATATAACCGATCGACAAAGGTTAGATCAACTCTTCAACAATATCGACCTGCAACACGGTTCTGCGACGGACATGTTGCAACGGATGAGAGAGGTAATAGGCCCAAGAACTTTCGACGAAGGCCTATTCAAACAACTCTTCTTGTCAAAACTTCCCCAACAGGTGCAAGCAGTTCTGGTCTCGTTCCAGAACAACGCCTTAGACGAGCTAGCTGCATCTGCCGACCGCATTTAGAAATTACGAAATCTACTACCGAGGTATTTTCAGTCAAAGAAAAACCTCAAACGACTCAGAATGACATAACCGAGTTATGTCATACACTCACGCGTTGTCTTAGTCTTCGTACCGACCGTAAGAGATCGCGCACACCACGTAGAAGCATTTCTCGTAAGCGATCTGTCTCTAGACCACGAGAGACAGATAACCCCGACTGGTGCTGGTATCATAACCAGTATGGAAAGTTTTCCAGAAATTGCAGAAAACCCTGCAATTTTCCCAACACGAAACCGACTGATTCGAAAAACAATTAGGGAAACTTCCAAGCCGGCACGCGTTAACGGCAACCGTAGCCGGCGAACATAGCCGTTTGTTGTACGTCACGGATGTGACAACGACAGTTCGCTACCTCGTCGACACTGGCGCAGAAGTTAGCGTTCTCCCAGCAAATCCTAACGACCGACTTCACGAATCGACCCTAAACTTACAGGCGGCAAACAGAAAACCGATCGCTACGTATGGCAAAAGGTACGTTTACCTTAACGTGGGTTTACGCAAACCCATTCACTGGATCTTCGTTGTTGCTGATGTTTCTATGCCAATCATTGGTATGGACCTTCTACAACATCACAATCTGATAATCGACACTCGCAAACGGAGGCTAGTAGACGGAAACACTAATTTATCCGTTTGCGTAACTTCTTTTACTGGTTGCAAATTATCCCCAGTCACAATTAAACATATGATAGACCCACTCTATCAGCCACTTCTCGATAAGTATCCTGGGATACAACAAACGCAACCGAGATTACCGTGTGTAACCAGCAATGTTACACATCACATCACGACTACAGGACCACCTGTATTTTCTAAAGCACGACGACTAGCTCCCGAAAATCTAAAGTTAGCGAAAAACGAATTCGACCATATGATAAACTTAGGAATCATACGACCGTCAAGTAGCCCATATGCATCTCCGTTGCACATGGTCCCTAAAAAGGACAGCAACGATTGGCGTCCAACTGGTGACTATCGGCGATTGAACGCGAAAACCATTCCCGATCGTTACCCGTTGCCTCACATTCACGATTTGACAGCTACCTTGAAAGGTACAACTGTCTTTTCGAAAATCGACTTGGTTAAAGCGTATAACCAAATCCCTATGGCTACTGACGACATACCGAAAACAGCTATCATAACTCCCTTCGGACTCTATGAATTTTTGCGAATGCCTTTCGGTCTAAGGAACGCTGCTCAAACCTTCCAAAGATTCATAGACCACGTTTTTCGAGGTCTCAACTTCGTACACGCGTATGTTGACGACTGTCTAATCGCAAGTCCGGACAGAGAAACACATCTCAAGCATCTGGATCTTGTTTTCGAACGACTTCAAAAACATGGCATAACTGTAAACGTTCAGAAATGCCAATTCGGAACCGACTCGTTAGACTTCCTAGGACACACTATCGATGCTCAAGGCATTCGACCTCTTAGGACCAAAGTGGCGGCACTTCTGGACTACCCAGAACCGACCACCGTCAAGCAATTACGCACGTTTAACGGCCTCGTAAGTTTCTATAGACGTTTCATACCGAAATGCGCATTA